AGTTTAAAATATTTTNTTGAAGATCAAACCTGGGAATTTTATTTAATAAACTCAAATCAATAAATGAAAATAACCACACAAACAAAAACTTCTAAATAAGCTCACAGCATGAAAATATTGTTTTAGAACCTTTTCTTAGGCTGGAAATGTGAAACATTATTGTCTGCACATGGCTGCCGTGGTTCTCAACGGCCCTCAGCTACGCCCCCTCTTTCCATCACCCCGCTCCGACTACTCGAAATCGCACTACACATACTTAAATAACACAATCTGTACTGTCGGAGCATCACGTGACTTCTGTAAGGCCCATGCAACTTTTCGGAGATGGGGTTTTACCCCCCCCCCCCCCTTTTTAATACTCATTTTGCATTCAAAGTTGATAGTTTAAAATATTTTCCCAGATCACCACCTTCGGTCTATTAAATAATCGACAGCAAGGCGTTGTTTGGGTCGCCCATGCCCACACGAATGACACGAATGCTCTGGGCACAGCGAGACTCAAGACAAAGAATTTTGCTGGATTAAATACTCCATTTAGACCAATGATTCTCAACCTTCTTATGCCGAGACCCTTTAATACAGTTCCTAATCTTGTACCGACCCCCCAAACACAAAATTAGTTCCATTTCTACTTCATAACTGTAGAGTATCTGGGGTTTTCCGATGTTCTTAAGCGACCCCCCGAAATGGTCGTTCGACCCCCAAAGGGATCGCGAACCACAGGTTGAGAACTGCTGATTTAGATTAAGATCTTGATGAATCCTAGCTCCTGGGCATGGCATGAAGCTAAAAGGTAAAAAAAAAACGTAAATGAACGTTTAAAATGTGTACAACTTACAACCACACTGTGTACTCCGCCCAGTAATCAGTGTACAACACGATTCCAAAATTGTCCACGGTCCAGGTGAGACCACGAAGGTCGGGGTTGATGGCAATGTTACTTTGAGGACTGACCACCCCCTGGCTGTGAATGCTGTTGAGAGAATAAAGCCAATGGCATTTGTGCAAGCGGAAACGAAGCTAGGGGAGGGGGGGGCAGGGGACAGATGTCCCTGGGCGCCAGATTAGTTAGGGGCGCCAAACGTGCTTTGATATTATTTTATAGATGAAAATAATGGGTTTGAGAGTTTAAAAAAAGAAGGGAAGCGCTTTAAAATGAATCTTGCTCCCGGACGCCAAACACTCTAGCAACGCCTCTGTATGTAAGGTTCATTAAATAGTAATCATATTTGTAAATTATAGTGTCGAGTCCTTACTTCTTCAATGAAAATTTTGGATTACCGCCATAGTCTGCCATGTCCTTAATCTTGAGATTTTGAAGTAGTTCTTCGATTTTTACCTTTGCCACCCTGTTAACTAGTTATCGGGTAGAAGAAAAAGAATTCATTGTTAGTTGTGGATACATTAAATTAATTTGTAACGATCGCTTTATGGATACAGATGACATAATGGAGTTTTTATGAAGAAGATGGTGCATATAAGTTGACGCTTAATTTATAGGATTGGAATATTTATTTTTTTTACGAAATTTCTTTTAACGTTATTTTTTTTTTTAAAAGATATTTCTTAAACGCTATTTCTTTAAAAAGGAAATTGCTCGGTGTTCCCGTTCTTTACCGTATTCTACTGCAGCGGATGTTAGCTTCATCGTAAATCCTGCCTTGTGTTGTGCTGACGTTTGGCTTACCAAAACCAGCACAAAGGTCGTCAAAACGACTCGCATCATGTGAGCAGTTAGAGATTTAAAAAAAAAATACAATGAAAGATTTACTGAAAACGCTGGTCTCTCGATGCTTAAAACACTGGCCTCACAACGCTTCTGACACTGGTCTCTCGGTGCTCTCCACACTGGTCTCTCGGTGCTCTCCACACTGGTCTCTCGGTGCTCTCCACACTGGTCTCTCGGTGCTCTCCACACTGGTCTCTGATTGCCACGTGCTGCTTATTTGTATACTCTTTTTTTTTTTTTTCAAAACGATACTCACACTCGTGCAGCCAACCGTTAAGTAGAAACCGCGGGTGGTTCTGATAGAAATTTGTTTACTGCTCGGTGCTCTCCCCCCTGGTCTCTGATTGCCACGTGCTGCTTATTTGTATACTCTTTTTTTTTTTTTCAAAACGATACTCACACTCGTGCAGCCAACCGTTAAGTAGAAACCGCGGGTGGTTCTGATAGAAATTTGTTTACTGCGACAACGTGCGTGGTGGTCTTGCGTGATGTCATCTCCTGGTTCACGAGGTCATCTCCTGGTTCATTCGTACTGGCAAATCCTTTCGTGTAAGTCAAATAAGATGGCTGAGCAGTTGATCGAGACAATCATTAGGAATTCATGAATAGCAACGTTTGTGTGATATTCACGAATAATAAAGTTTGTATTATATTCATGAATAATAAATTTTGTTTTTAATATACATGAATAATAAAAATTGTGTTATATTCATGAAAAGTAACGTTTGTGTTATATTCACGAATAATAAAGTTTGTATTATACTCACGAATAATAAAGTTTGTATTATACTCATGAATAATAAAGTTTGTATTATAATCATGAATAATAAAGTGTGTATTATATTCATGAACTGTAAAGTTTGTATTACCTATATTGAATAATAAAGTTTGTATTATTTTCATGAACTGTAAAGTTTGTATTACCTATATTGAATAATAAAGTTTGTATTATTTTCATGAAGTGTTAAGTTTGGTTTATATTCATTAAAAATAAAGTATTTATTATATATAATGAAGTTTGTATTATATTCATGAAAAGTAACGTTTATATTATCTACATAAAGTGTAAAGTGCGTATTATATTCATGTATTATAGAGTTTAAATTATCTTCATTAATAATAAAGTTTGTATTATATTCATGAAAAGTAACGTTTGTATTATCTACATGAAGTGTAAAGTGTGTATTATATTCATGTATTATAAAGTTTGTATTATCTTCATTAATAATAAAATTTGTTTTATATTCAAGAATAAAAAAGTTTGTAGAGTATGAATGAATTTTTGGTTTTGCTGTATAAGTTTCATTAGCGAGTTTATCTGTACAAATGTTAGTGCTATTTGAGTGTTAAACTAATTTCATCTTTGTAATGCAGGCGACTCACGCAGCTGAATGTTTTCAGTGAATTCAACAGATTGTTTTACTTTGTTGTTGCTTTCTTTTCTTTTCTATTTTTACACAATTATTTCATGATTCGGATGTTTGTAAAGGTCACATCTGTTTCAATGGAAATTGAAGGTCACGCTATTAATATTAAGTACATCAGAATTTCGCAATGACTGCATGACACGTCAACAAATTCATTTGGTCCGGGTGTGAGTTTCTCCATGTTTGGTTAATGCATGTCATCGGGGCTGTCCATTTTGTCCAAAACATATTTTGTTCACACTTGCTGGTCATGGACATTTTTTTTTTATCGCCTGCGTGGTTTAACAATGGTTTAACATGATGCAGACAATATTTATAAATCTTTTTTTTATTTTGTACCGAATGCTATTTGTGTCATATTTTAGACAATTTATCTTTAGACTTCACGAGGCCGAATCGATATAAATTACATAATTTAGATTTTTTTTTTTTTAAAAAGATCATGTCAAGGTGAGAGTCTGTTGTGAGGGGATGTTCCTCTCTTATCAAAGCAAACATAGACTTGATGTGAAATAAGGCTGATCGGGCTATATGGTTATTATAGATTTATATTGAATAGCCGATAGGGGTTCGCACAGTGCAAACGAAGGTGTGGGAGGGGGGAGGGGGGGTGGGCAGCAGTGAAGGGAAGCGCGCGTAAGTCGAAACCTTAATTTTTATACAGGTTTGACGTAAGTCGCGATGTGGATCTGTTCCTTTGCTGAGGTTGCCGGCGCGACTGTGGATTTTGTCAGTGGAGTCATTTTTTTAAAAAGATCTATAGGCCTACAAGATATCAGAGCCAGGTAATGTCCGTAGCCTTCAAGCAACCCTTAAGGTTACAACAGACTACAAAATAGTCAGCGGAGCATTTAAAAGAAGAAGAAAAAAAGGCCAAAGTAATTTTTTTTTTACCATTTTGGTTTGATCATTAATAAAAAAATAAAAATAAAAAAAAGAATTGTTAACTTTCGTCAATTTTAATTTATTTAAATGTTTTTTTATTGCTTTACTAGCAGCGTGTGCCAAAAATAGAGCCACTCAAATTCGCGCACCCTGGACGCGCATGTCAGCCGCCACGGGATTATTTTCGGCAGATTGATTATCATGCTCTTCCTGAAAGCTTTATTTAGGTATATCATTGCTGATCTCAAAAGTGTATGATGTTGGTATTATTACTGAGCTGCAGCCAGCTGTTGAAGCTGAGTCATTATTTGTATAAATGTGAAATCTCTTGGGTGTTCTTAGTGCTGGGAAAATACCAATGATGCTACGTTTCTTTTTTCAAACATTTTCAAATTGTGTGTTTCTTCTGTGTTTTTTTGGTGTGTTTGTCGACCTGACCAAAATACGTCTTAAATTAACATAGATAAATTATAATTCTTCTTCTATATCTTAAGGGCCCACGATCAATTTATTGATCATTTTGGCTCCTATGCATGTAGATGGCATTTGCAATGTTTCCGTGCCTGGTGTTGATGAGGAAATTTCACTGATTTCCAGTGCCACTTTGTGGGGGAATCATGCACTGGGGGTTTGAAGGCTTGAGGCAATAGACACAAATGTGTCTAGTGTTGTCGCCTCAACCGTTCCTTTTGAAAGCTTGTTCCAGTCCCTGATTGTCTTGGGCAGGAATGAGCAGCTCCTATTCTGGCTTCTTGCTATAAGAATGAGCTATTGACACCGTAACGCCAAAGAAGCGAAAAGATTGTAATACGTTCAGATTATTTAGAAAGTCATAGTTATTTTCTATTATTGTACGGAAATCAAATATATTTAAATGCGGAAAAAAAAACATGGATATGCTTTTATTTTAGAGAAAGTTTTTTTAAATATTATTATTATAAATTACTAATACATTTAAAGTAGCAACTAAGTAACTATTTAAGCATTTATCCGAATCACAAAGTTATGAAAAAAAAATATGATCTAAGAAGTACACCGTAATCACATTTATCTGGGAAAACCCAAACATCAGGGGGTTTTTTAGTGCGTTTTTTAGTGCATTGTTAATACTGCGAAATAAAATTAAAATTATTATCTACTGGAGGGGATCTGACTGAACGCTTTTAAGTCAGGGATCCCCACCGCCGAGGCGACTTGGTGGGGTCACATGGGGTTTGCCTCTTCGTGGCGTGACAGACTAGTAGGGAGGCTTTGTTCTTCCGAAGTCAAAAATCAATAGGCTGAGTCCTATTCTGTGCACGTGTGTAAAGGGCAACTTTAAAAAAAAAAAAAATGACTGTATGCTATATGTGACCATGTGTGACGTTAATGCTGCATCATCGGTAAAGAGCAATTCCCGTATGAGAGACTTTGTAACTGTGTGTGTGTGTATATATAGATCGCTTTATCTTGTTCTATTTATGTCACATTTAGTAAGTGCATCAATCACTACAAGGCCAGTGTTCAATGAACGTAAGGCACACCATAGTTCAGAATTACTTTTATTACCCCATCGACTGGTTTCAAAGATTAAATATTTTTCACCAAAAAAAAAAAAAAAACTTCCTCTGTAAAGATGTCTTCTAATTTATCATGTTAAATTTAATGTGTTTTATACCCGTGAATTTTGTTGTTATTCGAGTGGTACAACGCTCGTTGCTGTTCTTTGATGCAGGCATTATCTGGAGGTTATTGTCTTACTCAATGTTTTGGTACTTGACGTCAGTGCCTATGGCAAGGAAACCCTGAAATTGAAATTTAATTTATGCAAAACTTTGGGATTTAAACTATTCTTGAAGAAAAAAAAGAAACGCATATGGATGCAGAATAGAATGCGTCAAATAGGTTCATTAGTTTTCATAGTATCCAACGAAGAATGCATTGGCTTTGGTCGCCCAGTTTTTAAAATTCGAAAATATAAAAATTAAAGGCTTATATTGATTAAAGTTCATTTACATATTACTTTGTAGTTATAACAAAGACTTAAATGGTTGAATTTGATGTTAAATAACACAAAAAAAACATATTTGACGATTAAATGGCAATACAATAAAGTTATTGTGGCGTTCCAAAGCCCATGAAAAGATTACGCTACATTTTATATATAGTGCACACATGGGGGAGTATCTGATACTTACATCATAATATTTCATTTGTGACTTCGTGAATGTCACTTCTGGTACTAATGGCAAAGGAATGCCTTCAGCCATTATGTCTGGCAGATGAGATATAACAATTTTTTTTTTAATATGCTCATGTATAACTAGATTAATTAAAAGAGTGTTGGACTGCGATAAAGCTTTAAAATAGATTAATTAGACACGAACAATTTTTGTCAATATAACAATATATGTTTAGCTTTAACAATAGTTTTACATAATTCACAGGTAAACGTTTCGGCACATGCCTTCATCAGTACAACAACAAAACATTTAAATGAGTATAAATTAAAATTTACATAATATACATATATATATATATATATATATATATATATACATACACATACAGTTAAATAGTAAATTACATTTTTATTAAATACATCCCCGTGGCGCTGGGGGGCAATGTAGTGCTTTTGCCACCCACACCACTTCCTTCCACGCATACCTAACTGATGCTTTTCTTTCCCATGCTTGGATTCCCAGTTGTAGTTTTTTCCCTCATCATTCATCCATCCATTTCAGCTTAGGTCTGTCTTTGAATCGTTTTCCTCTGGGATTTTGGTGGTGCACCCTCTTTACTCCTTTAGTCATTTAGTGTGCCCTCAAAATATTCAACCCACCTCTCCAGTAATTAACTATTTTCCGTATTAAATTCTCCATCATGGTTTTCACACATTTTTCGTTCTGGCTTGGTGTCCATTCTTTTCGTCTTTTATCTTCATGTACACCCCTCTACCATTTTTCTCTCTTGATAACTCTTCTATTTCCTTTAGTTTAGCTTTTTGCAATTTCCTTTTTCCTTTTTCTTTCTAAACATTTTAGTGGCTTTCCTTCTGGCTTCATTGTACACTTGTCTCATATTTCTGGTTTCCTTTTGTATCATGGCCATTCGGGCCTTGTTCCTTTCTTTGACAGTCTCTCTGCATTCATTATCAAATCAGCCTACTGTACTTTTGATTTGCTGAAATCCTACTACTTTTTCTGCTGATCTTTTAATAGAATTTTAAAGTTTTTTTTTGGTAATCATGTCGTTTTTCTCTTTGATTTCAGCCATTGTGAATTGTGCTTATTCTCTGTGTATATTTAACCTTTACAAACAGATGGTCAGTCTGCATCTGCTCCTCAATGGTCTCTTACGTCTAGTATATCTGATCCAGGCCTCCGACCGATTAGATCATTGTCAATTTGGTTGTGGATGATTCCATCTGGTGAGTTCCAAGTAGCTCTATGTATATTTTTGTGTGGAAACTTGGTGCTGCTATCTGTCATCCCTTTTCCTGAAGCAAAGTTTGTGAGTCGGATTCCATTGTCATGGGATGCTTCACCTATTGAGACTCCTTGCCAATAGTTGGCATTAACACTTTTTCGTTCCTTATTTTGGAATTAAAGTCGCGAATCACTATTTTTATATCATGTGGTGGTGCTTCTTCTTAGATCTTTTCTAGTGTCCCATAAAAGGATTATTTTATCTGAACTTATGCATCTTCGGTGGGGGCATGAACATTTACAAATGTTACATTAAACATTTTCCCTCGCACACGCAAAAAGCAAAATCTTTCATCGTCTTGTTTAAAAGCTATAACTGCACCGACGGCTTCTTTCTTCACATCAAATCCTGTTTTTAAGAATGTAAATGTTGTTGTCACCATAAAATATAATGTATTCCTTTGTCTTGGTGATGTCTTCATTTTTACATCGAATTTCTCCCAATGCAGCTCTAGAGATTTTATAGTTAATTCGTTGATTCATTAGGTTCGTGCCGGCGCCTGCTCTAAACAGGCTCAGTGCGTTCCCAACGGCAATCCAAAACCGATTGTCCACATCCAGGCCTGGGTCGATTGGCATTAGAATCAGTCCGGGTTATTTGTTGTTGTTTGGCTTTCGTAACGTTCATTTTTTTTCTTCATATGGCCGGGTTGTTAGCCCTGTGCACAACTATCTGGAGAGGGGGGGGGGAGGGCTGGCTGCTCCTTACATCTCTCTAGGTTGCTGCCTTAATTTTGTGGCCCATCCTTTGTGGATCCTTTCACGTCCCAAAAGGCAGCAGGTTCTGACACTTTTGTTAATGTGGCATTGCAATGACATGTTGTACATGTAGCAGATTTGCTTCACAAGACTTATAAGCCTACTCACTCTAATGACATTGGTGCTGTACATGTAGCAGATTTGCTTCACAAGACTTATAAGCCTACTCACTCTAATGACATTATTGCTGTACATGTAGCAGATTTGCTTCACAAGACTTATAAGCCTACTCACTCTAATGACATTATTGCTGTACATGTAGCAGATTTGCTTCACAAGACTTATAGTTCTACTCACTGTTTAAATTTGGAATAAAATTCAAGTTTAATCCTCTCTTGACTACATCGTTCAAGTCGTCTGTCTGTAGAAAAGTCAAAGTAAACCATGCATTAACACTATACGTTTTTTTTTAAAAAGGGGGGCAAGCGATAAAATAGTTACTCAAAAAAATGTTACCCTCCCAGCCCTTTTTCCCCTCTTTCGCAAGCCGAATTTTTTTTTTTTTGGAACCCTATTGGTTCATACAAATGAATTTTCGAAAAAATAAATTTATTTTTAGAGCCTCTGACGTCTTAACGTCACAGTAACGCAAAAATGTGGCAAGGGATTTCTCTACTGTCTCTTTTGCGTAGCCCAGTGGTTCCCAAAATGTGTCAATGGATTTCCCCCACAATCTCTTTGGCGTAGCCCAGTGGTTCACAAAATGTATCAACGGTATTTCTCCCCTGTCTCTTTGGCGTAGCCCAGTGTTTCCCTAAATGTATCAATGGGTTTTCTCTCCTGTCTATTTGGCGTAGCCCAGTGGTTCATAAAATGTGTCAACTGGTTTTCTTCCCTGTCTCTTTGGCGTAGCCCAGTGGTTCCCTAAATGTATCAACGGGTTTCCTCCCCTGCCTCTTTGGCGTAGCCCAGTGGTTCCCAAAATGTGTCAACGGGGTTTTCTCCCCCGTCTCTTTGTTTTAGCCCAGCGGTTCATAAAATGTGTCAACGGGTTTTATCCCCTGCCTCTTTGGCGTAGCCCAGTGGCTCATAAAATGTGTCTACGGGTTTTCTCCCCTGTCTCTTTGTCGTAGCCCAGTGGTTCCCAAAATGTGTCAACGGGTTTTTTCTCCCCTGTGTCGTTCACAAAAATGTACGCCGTGACGTCCTGTGGAGCTGCGGCTTCATCACGGGGAGTCCTGACAACATTTCCCTATTTTCATCAGGTTATTTCCCCTTTTAACCCACGACATCTAGTGGACCCGCTGCAGACCAGTAACTCACACGAGTAGCTACTGTTTACGGAAGCTCCTACAAATTGTAAGCTAATGACCAATGTACAATTTTATTATTATTGTCATCATTAAACATTTCTGAAAAAATTATAGATGAAAAAGATGAACCTCCCTCTCAACTCCCCCCCCCCCACAACCCCTTCTCTCTCTCACTCCTCTACCGCAGTTAATTTGTGTTGATTCATATACACTACCATCTCAAAATCAGACTCACTAGAATTGCTTTATAAGATAAAAATGGCTTTATTAATGATGGCTTAACTATGGGTACAGGAGCGAAGGGAGGACATTTCGAAGATTCGTCTGTCCCTGTTGTTCAACGGACTTTTTGTTTGTACACAATGATTTGTGCGCACGCGGATTATTTTATCTCAAATTTTAGGTTACCGGAAATTCGATCGACGGTAATTTGATCGAGCGTAAATTTGGTCGAATCTTTTCTTTTTAATGTAAAAACTTTAAAAGAAGATTCGATCAAATTACCATCGATCAATTTACTGTCAACGAAATTTCTTTCGACCAAATTTCTGGATACGCAAGTTTTAATAACATGTCTAAAGATAGGGGTAATTTGTTTGCTTTTTTTTATTAAATAAATAAATAAGTCTTATATTTACACTTACCTCGATTTTTCCGAGTTGAGTTTGAACATTACTGACGCGAATGCTGTTTGGGGGGGGAAATAACGATTACAGAATTATGCGGACTAATGGTAAAGTTGTAACTACATGTGAGAGTTAAGATATTATTTTTTTTCCCTCTTTGTAAGATTGAGCTAAGCAAAGCTGACCAAGAAATGTTTTTTTTAAAAACAAAATCAGTTTAAACACCCCAAGGACTCTTGAAAACAAAGCTTGGGATTTTCTAACCGAATCAACCTAAATATGATTTTTTTTTTTAAACATATCTACTCATGTTTAAGCATAAGCAATTTTATATGTATATATAATTATTACAAATTAGAAATACATCTAATGTAACAATTAAATAATTATTTTGATCATTTATCTGAACGTGAGAGTTGAGGTAACCTTTTTATTCCCTACCAGTGATCATCTATGTATTACTGTTAAAAAATTATAAGCATTTTTATCAGGGAAATTGTTGTTATTATTGTTACTAGAATATATGACCCGATGTTATCGAGATAATACTGGCAGGCACTTTGCAATAATTTGTTCCTGCTTTTGCGAAAACTCCTAACAATTTTTTATTTTGAAAAGAAGTAGCTATGTAATAATGTTTTCGTTTCCAATATTATTTCAGAAGTATTTTGATGCTGTATATTATACTCCTACCCTACCCCTTTTTGCGCACCTAAATTAATTTTTTTCTTCTAAACATGACCCTAAGTTACCAAATTTAAATGATCACTAATTAAATCATTATTGTCAGTAAAGGGGTTCATTGGCGGCTGATTTCTACGCTAGAGAAATACTTTAGATTTCTTTTGTTTTTAAATAGTTAAATGTTGGACCTACCCTTCCCATGTTAGTGCCCCTAAACTACATTGTTTTTCTTTCATTAAAAGTTGTGAAAATATAGTCTTAAATTGACAACAAACATTCTATTTACCATTTTAAATGTATTTTACATTAACGGAATAAGTTACATTGATATCCCACGTGGTTATTAAATAAAAAGAAAATTAAAGCTTTGGCTAAAATACGCAATTTTGCCTATTTTCATAAATTGCAATGCATCTGCTGTTTTAGGGGCAGATGATTTTTAATAAGGTCCAGGAGTGAGATATTGTTTAAAGTCCAATAGTCAGAATTCCAGGAGTCAGGTGGTGTTTAAGGTCCAGGAGTTAGATAGTGTTTAAGGTCCCGGAGTTAGATAGTGTTTAAGGTCCAGGAGTTAGATAGTGTTTAAGGTCCAGAGTCCAGGAGTTAGATAGTGTTTAAGGTCCAGGAGTTAGATAGTGTTTAAGGTCCAGGAGTTAGATAGTGTTTAAGGTCCAGGAGTCAGATAGTGTTTTAGTTTCAGGAGTCAGATGGTGTTTAAGGTCCAGGAGTTAGATGGTGTTTAAGGTCCAGGAGTTAGATAGTGTTTAAGGTCCAGGAGTCAGATAGTGTTTAAGGTCCTGAGTCCAGGAGTCAGAAAGTGTTTAAGGTTAACTAGTCAGATAGTGTTTAAGTTCCAGGAGTCAGATGGTGTTTAAGGTCCAAGAGTCAGATGGTGTTTAAGGTCCAGAAGTCAGATAGTGTTTAATGTCCAGTAGTCAGAAAGTGTTTAAGTTCCAGGAGTCAGATGGTGTTTAAGGTCCAAGAGTCAGATGGTGTTTAAGGTCCAGGAGTCAGATAGTGTTTAAGTTTCAGGAGTCAGATGGTGTTTAAGGTCCAGGATTCAGATAGTGTTTAAGGTCCAGGAGTCAGATAGTGTTTAAGGTGTACGGACAAAGGCACCGAAATTATATTTTTGTACTCAAATTATGTCACTACTGGTGTACAGCAAATTATGTCACTACTGGTGTACAGCAAACTATAACGCCCATTGATAACCGACTGTATTATTATGTCAATGTGTGTTTACGGAGAGCCTAGCTTTTTAGGAAATCTCTTTCTACGTCAAAATCAAAGAACGGTCTTCTGTCCCGTTCATTTCCCCTCCCCCCCCCCCCCAGAAACGATTGGCTATAGAGAGTCCAGCTTGTGGACAAACCTGGATGAAATATTACCCCACTGTCTCTTGATTGTGAGTTAGACACGCACTCTCCACTTCTTGATACAATCATAATTATTTGAAAGGATGTATCATTTCATTACATAGCTCCTTCTTTTGGAATTTAAAAAAAAAATGTACTTCCCCAAATCCTAATTTTGTGATAATTAAAGTGTTTAAAATGGATCAGACCTGACGCTGTTAATGTTTCCTGATATGAGTTCGTTCTCGAAAGAAGCCGTTCCGTTGAGAGAAATCGACTGCAAATAAAGTTATAATTTTACTTGAAACATCTCAAGAAAAAATCAGTTCAAATGCAGTAAAAACAAAAACAAACAAAAACCGGCTAGAATCCGGGGGATGGTTTCTACGAATCCTTAAATGGCGTGAGAAAGGTAAATGCGCCCCTTCGAGAATAGGCTGCCGCCTGGTGAAACTTACCAGCTCGCAATGGAGGATGGATGGCTTGCTACCTTCAGAGTCGGCAAACAGATCTAAGATGCCGGTCATTTGTAAACTGAGACCACCGGTTGAAATGGTTACTTGAGGGGAGACTGGTGAGTACACTTTGATGCTGATCACAGAGTCTGGATGATTTTCACCAACCTGTTAAAAAATTAAATTGAATTCTTTTATCCTCTGTTACATTGAATGTGAAGTTAGGGACATTTTTTTAAAAAATAGTATAGAGTTTAATTGTTAAAATATGACAACTATTGATGATACTCATGAAAAAAAACCACTTATTTAATTAGAAAAATACTATATATATATAGATGATATAGATATATATGCATAGATGTAGATATAGATATGAAATCCAGGGTTAACGCGTCTCATCTTCCTGGCCTGCTGGGTATGTTTTTTTGCTTTTCTAAGCTTGTCTCAATAACCTCCAGCTTATTTCATGGAGACTTAGTTGAGACCACTTGGACGCACCAGCACAAGAAAATTTTAACAAACATAAAGTGTTTGTTTATATATATATATATAAAGATTGATACTTACAAGAGGTACTATAGATCCAACACAAACCGAGCCAGGACACGTTGCTTTCAGGAATGGTCTTTTATCTACAGGCAGCTAATGAGTGATCACAAAAAAACATAGAAAGCTTCATAGCACACTGTATGCTGAGCCCATAAGCATTAACTACAATGTTGCACAATTTAAAATTTAAACATTTTCATTTTTTTAAACTTTGGGAAACAATTGCAACGCGTAACATTCATAAAAGGCAGACGTGACTCTACGGTGAGAATTCGGAACTGATAGTTTCATACACTATAATAATGGTTACGCCTGACAGTAACAGATCTACTGACAAATCACTGACAATGAATACTGGGTCATAGTCTGGATTAACACGCTGGTATTAGAAAATAAAATTTTCTTCAATGATGTACCAAGTAGGGTTTCTCATTACCAGAGTATAAGGGTTTCTCATTCCCGGCATATACGGGTTCTTCATTCCCAGAGGAAATTGGTTTTTCATTCAAGGAGTACATGGGTTTCTCATTCCCGGAGTATATGGGTTTCTCATTCCAGGATATATGGGTTTCTCATTCCCGGAGTACATGGGTTTCTCATTCCTAGAGTATATGGGTTTCTCATTCCCGGAGTATTTGGGTTTCTCATTCCCGGAGTATATGGGTTTCTCATTCCCGGAGTATATGGGTTTCTCATTCCCAGAGTATATGGGTTTCTCATTCCCAGAATATATGGGTTTCTCATTCCCGGAGTATATGGGTTTCTCATTCCCGGAGTATATGGGTTATTCATTACCAGAGGATATGGGTTTCTCATTCCCGGAGTATATGGGTTTCTCATTCCCAGAGTATATGGGTTTCTCATTCCCAGAATATAATATGGGTTTCTCATTCCCGGAGTATATGGGTTTCTCATTCCCGGAGTATATGGGTTATTCATTACCAGAGGATATGGGGTTCTCATTCCCGGAGGATATGGTTTTCCTGATCCCGGAAGTCCGTGGAAAATCCCAGGATAAAATTGATTAATTTTAAAAAAATATTGTATACTGGACAATAAAAGAGTTCATTTGCATTGTCCTTTAAATTTCATTGTCTGGCAAGGAATAGAAAACAATGTTAAGGTTATTTGAGAGGTTGGTCACATGCTAGTATTTGCTTCATTGTCCACGGCTTAGCCCAAAAGTAATAGATAACGAGCTCATAATATGTTTGTTCAGCAAAAGTCTGATATAACTGCCTGTAGAAAGAAAAGCACATATCACTTCATGAGATTTGCATTCTTGACAGGTCGCTAATTCTAGATTCAAATCCGTCATTAAAGATTTGTAAGCACATTTTTATGAACAACTTGTGTAGCAAGGGGATCGTTTCAAATAAAAATAGGATGTCAATGAGTGGTATCGATATGGAACATGTCTCACTATGTTGGTTTTGGAAGGCAAACAAAAAACAAACTGTATAAAGGTTGTTAGACACATGAAGTCTTGGGATAATCAAGTTTATAGAGCACAGGTTTCCAGCCCATGGGCATTGACCTCAAATGGGGGTCGCCGGCTGCAACAATAGACAACTTGTGAAGTTGTGATTTTTAAATAGTTTTCTTCTTTTTTTTTTTCTTTTAAATTCTTGCCTTACGATTTAAAAGTTGCTATTTAAATCATGACGTTAAAGGTCATTATGCGGGTAGGATGGAGTCTTCTTGTATTTTACTTTCCGAGACTTTACCCCATTTAAAAGGCTTTTATTTATTTTATTTTTTCCAATAAAGCGTTGCAAGCGTCATTCAGCTTCTTAATGAATGCCGTGATGACTTTAAAACGCTTGAGCCCCTGTGAACTAAAAGCTACTGCTAATTTAGAAGGAAGTATTTTCGGGATTTCCCGGGATAGGAAATTTCCCCGGAAATACTTTTTTTTTTTTTTTTACTGCAAATCGTGTGGGATCCTGGGATCGCGGGAGAGAACCCCTGGTTCTTTTTTAAAACGCTTGAGCCCCTTTTAACTAAAAGCTACTGCTAATTTAGAAGGAAGTATTTTCGGGATTTCCCGGGATAGGAAATTTCCCCGGAAATACTTTTTTTTTTTTTTTACTGCAAATCGTGTGGGATCCTGGGATCGCGGGAGAGAACCCCTGGTTCTTAGTTCAGTGATCGGCAAATCATGGCGCTCGAGAGCCGCATGAGAGCCGCATGCGGCTCTTTAGCGACCCGAGTGCGGCTCGGCCAGTCGGCCACAAGTCGGTTTTGACTCCGAAAAATATGGTTCTTGAGAGTTTCTTGTTAAGAAATTTGGCTCTCAAAAAATTTTTTAATCGTCCTGCTGGGTTTTTTTTTGTGTGTGTGTGGCTCTTTTTGACTCAGGAGTTTGCCGCCCACCTACTTAGTCAATAAATAAAAAAGACTCTCTAAACATGTTTTATATTTATATATATATATATGTATTATTTAAAACAGACTACGTTTGCTCACATTTTCTGGATTGACGTCCAGATTTAGATACCCATTTTTGTGTGCCACGTAAGCAAGTGTCGAAACGGAGTATTTCGATACTAACACCTCCGCCATGAAGTTGTTGTCAGGATCCTTGTCCGGCATCAGTGGGGCGATTATTGGAATAGCTGAGTTGTCTCCCATCCAGGACACTTCCCCCTGTTTATTATTATTATTATTATTAGATTGATTAATTTCAGCATCCCATGGTGTAACAATAACGTGATACCGCTAGTTTAAAAGTGACCAGAAATGCATTTCATTATCCATTGTCACAGCTTCATAACCTTATCTCGCGACACCTCTCATTGTCATAGCTTCATAACCTTATCTCGCGACACCTCTCATTGTCATAGCTTCATAACCTTATCTCGCGACACCTCTCATTGTCACAGCTTCATAACCTTATCTCGCGACACCTCTCTTATCATTTTTTTTTGGTTCATTCATTCAAGATCATCTCTCTGACTGTCTCTGAATATTAATCAGATTTGCTTCATGTTAAGGCCTTTCCTGCTGACACATGCTTTTCTTGCGTCCATACACCAGAGGCGTAGCTAGAGTGTTTGGCGCCCGGGGGACGAGATTCATTTTAAAGCGCACCCTTTTCTTTTTTCAACTCTAAAACTCATAATTTTCATCAATAAAATAATATCAAAGCACATTTTGGCGCCCCTAACTAGTCTGGAACCCAGGGACATCTGTCCCCCCTGCCCCTATTAGCTAATAGTGCATAACAGTGCATAGCACTGGTACATCTTTGTGCTTGCTACTGGACTTCTTTTATGTCAACAAATTTTTCATATTTTTTCCATTTTCTGAAGCCGTATTCTATTTATTTTCCTTATTTGTTTCTTGCTACCTTTGATTTTTCTGCTGTCCTATATACTGATACCTTGCGCAATATTTTTCCTACAAATTCACGGTGAAAAAAAATGTGGGGGGGGGGGGCTTATTAGACCACTATTGTATACCTTATGTTTAATCTCCAGGTATTTAGGGTTGGAAGTTACGGGTCCTGTAATATTGTAATCCACAAACAGATTTTTGATTTCTTGAGTCACTGTGGTTCGTTGTTAGTAAACGCTTTTTTTTATTCACGGTGAAAAAAAATGTGGGGGGGGGGGGGCTTATTAGACCACTATTGTATACCTTATGTTTAATCTCCAGGTATTTAGAGTTGGAATTTACGGGTCCTGTAATACTGTAATCCACAAACAGCTTTTTGATTTCATGAGTCACTGTGGATCATTGTTAGTAAACGCTTTTTTTAAATTTGTATATAGCAATAAGTCTTGATTGTTCATGTAGTAATAATTCTTTAATGTAGCAATTGTTTTTTTTAATTTTTAATGTTGCGAGACGTTAATTTTAAATGTAGCTATGGGTCCTTGAATAGTAATTTAGCTGTATTTCTTTAATTGGTGATGTAGCAATGGGTCTATAAGTGACAAATGATAATAATTAATTAATTAACCTTTATAACAAAAGGCTCCAATAATCATCCATGAATATCTAGCTTCTGGCGATTTTTTATAAGTATTTCTCGATGTTAGAATTTTAAAATTCAATCGTTTAATTTAAGCAAAATTTAAAGAAGTACATTTTATGGAATTCTTCAATTATGAAAAAGAATACTGCTTTCTCCTTTAAAATATTTCATGTATCAAAAAAAATTTGCATCTTAAATATTTTATTAACTTCATTGACTCATCTCTAGGACGGTGGTGTGGTGTTAGAAAACAGCACAGACCCTCCGAGTGAGTGGGGCTAATCAATCTCTGATTGCAAATCTCCGCATTGCACCTATAAACCCTTGGGTGAACCTCAGGGAGAAATCTGACATAAAAATCCGGAGACGGGGTCCTCTCACTAGGCGGTATGGCAATTACTCGATGCATATTCTGGAAAAACTCCTGCGAATACCCTTAGTGTTGCTTCATGTTGACCAGATTGCGCTGAGAGGGGTTAGGGATATGCTGACCGGGTAACTAGCGCATTCTCCATAACAAATTCCCCAGGCCTAATGATTTCGAAGCGTCAGCGAAGACCATCATCTTCTTGACACGGGGTTAGGGCTGCTGCCAAAATAAGTTTTAAAAAATACAAGTACTAGAAATAGAGGAAAGCACGTGCACACAGAATAGAGCCACTTATCGGCTAGAGGCTGCTCTACTTACGACGAGTCCTCTTCAACACATCTGCCCCATCTTTGTTGATGGTATTAGCAACAAGTGCACAGATCTGAAAGAATGCACAATTTTCATTAGTGTGACACGTAAATTGCGTTCCGTGATTGTTATGGGTTTTTTTGTTGTTGTTTTTTTTTTTTGGGGGGGGGGGGGGGGGGGGGTTGTTTTGTTTTTTTTTTGGGGGGGGGGGGGGGGAGGGGGTTGCTTAGTGTTTTAAAAAAAAACAAGTTTAAAAATATCTGCATATTTTTTCTAATTTTACTTTTTAATTGACTCACCTTGTCTTTAATTGATTTTGACACTTTTTCCGTGAAAAGTCCTTTAATTAAATTCAACAGCCAGGCAGCCCTACCTTCAAATTTAAGCTTCAAATCACCAACTTTAGCCACACAACCTGTCGATTTTAGGAGTGGGCTGTGCTGGGGATCGTTGTCTAGATCTGGAATGCAATTATCATTTATAGTAATAACTCCAGAAAAATGTAGCGTGCCAATTATGAATACGTCACGATTTCATGGTGGATTGGGGCAATGGATATAATTCGAGTTATATTGGTGTCAAACAAATAAATATCCGTTTTTCTCCAGCCTTTTTTAAGCGCATGAAATATCAACAAACACATTTTAATTTATTTATTATTTTGATAATAATAGTTTTTGTGTGTAAACTAATGTTATTTTTAAATTCATTGTTTATAAAAATAAAAAAAGAAGCAAGAAATGTAACTGCCAAATAAATATTGCCCAACAAAAAACTATTTTCAGACATTTATTACCCTGTAAACATTCAAATTAATATTTTACCGCACATAATACATTCGAAAGTAGTAAAAATTCAGTAATTTTGACGGGTCATTATATGGCCTTTGAACCGCTGGGATTGAATAGTTCGTTGCATTAAATCAGTGGTTGTCAACGTGGGTTGTACTGCCCCCTGGGGGCGGTGGGATGGCTCAGGGGCAGTGGCGTAGCAAGGGGTGCGGGGTCGTGGACCGCATCGGGTGACACTATCCCAGGGGGTGACACCATTGGGGAAAAAAATGCATATTTACAAAGCACAAACTGCTCGGTCTAATCGAATAATTGCCTTTTTAGGGAAACCGATCACGATTAAATTTTATTTTTCTCACTTAAAACCAATCCAAATGCGTGCTTTATTTAGAATTCAAGGATGGTGCGGGGAGTCTCTCTCTCTCTCTCTCTCCCTCTCTCTCTCACACTCTCTCTCTCTCTCACTCATTCTCTCTCTCTCCTACACCAAGCTACGCCACTGCTCAGGAGGGCGGTTAAATCCTCGGTAGGTGGATTTGTTGTTGTTGTTGTTGTTTTGTTTTGTTTTGTTTTTTTGGGGGGAGGTTGTTGTTGTTTTAGTTTATTTTTTTTTTATTGGGGTGTTGTTGGGGAATAAATAAAATGGGGCGCTGGCAAAGAAATTACCATTTCTTTATAAGAAAAAATCATATTGAATTAAACGAAAAATAAGTATTCGATTGTTGGCATTGGAAAGGAGACATAAGATAACATTCTGTTCCGAAACACAAGAACAAATTTTGATCTTCAGTACAACTCAATAACCTATCATTAATTTGTTAGCGATGTGCAATGAGATTACAGCCTCATGAATCGCTCTTAAAAAATTACAGTTGGATATATTTTTTAAAGCACACTCACTGGACGTGGATGAAAAAAAAATCTACGTGTGTCTCCTGTGGCGAAATAAAACACATTCATTGTTATCTTAGTCAGATTTTCGACCCAAAAAAGGGAAAACTATTAATTTTAAAGTTAAATAAAAATAAGGCGATGGCTTGAAAGAGATGGTCTTCTCTGTGACACTGGTGGAATATTACTTTTCATTATTTTTTTATTTGACATCTGGATCCGTTAACAAATGATGTCACGTCACTTAGTTGTTTTTCATATTGTTTTGTTTTTAATATAGCCTATAGATTTCATAATTCATTATGTATTTCATCGCAGACATCTGGTTGTTAAAATAAAACTGATTAATCCCATGCCCTTAATCATTCAACGGCGTCTTTCATTGTTGTAAGTTAAGGCGATTGTCAACTATTCCAGAAACTATATCATGCTGAGATAAAAAAAAAACGATTTTGAAAATTTGCTGCTTAGTAGTAAATTTCGTTGGCTATCAAAATTTATGTTTTTTTTTTGGGGGGGGGGGTCCTTTTTAGAAGCTATTCGACACTGTTTTTGAACAAAAATAATTTCTAAAGGCTAACCCCAAATTAAAAAAAAAACGATTTTGAAAATTTGCTGCTTAGTAGTAAATTTCGTTGGCTATCAAAATTTATGTTTTTTTTTTGGGGGGGGGGGTCACTTTTAGAAGCTATTCGACACTGTTTTAGACACAAAATAATTTCTAAAGGCTTACCCCAAAGACTTCAGACACAAGATTGCTTATTGAATATCAATTTTCTGTACATTTTTAAAATCAAAATTCAACATGTCCGATTGCAATATAAGCCATATTCTAAGCCCTTTTTTCCAGTGGTGTAGATATGATTAGTACCAACAATGCGGACCAAAATTTTTGACGCCACCTTCGAAAAAAAAATATTTAAAATATGCAGTTCGCCAAAAATGCCACCTTCCCCTCCACTCTCCCTCCTCTCTACCACCCCCCTCCCCCATAAAAAGAAGAAAATTTTCCCTGGGCGGACCGCTGCCTCCGACCTTCTTTCTACGGCACTGTCTTTTGTACTAGAAGAGAAACAGACGCAACAAGATGATAATCTGCAAGTCTTTTGGAGCCTTACGAATTTTCTAGATTATAAGCTCTCCGAGAGCGATTTAGGATTTTGTTTTATGGAACCCAGGGTTGGAACTTGGCAATTTTCAGCTTCAAACTGATGATGAGCTGAAACCAAAATTTAGTAGCTCAAACCAGGAGTTTTTCGGCATCAAAAAGTCAAAGTCGTGCCGTCATCATACACTGTGGGAAGACGGGTACTTTAGCGTCTCTAATATCGTTTTTTTTTAGTGGATGGGGGATTTAAATGTGGTAATTCAACCCCCACACCCCCTCCCCACAATAAAAAAACAACAACAAAAAATACATCGAAATTTCTGACCCTGTTATTTAAAAGTCATGTTTAGTTCCCTTTAAGCCCAGTCATGTTTAGTTCCCTTTAAGCCCAGTCATGCAAAACGTTTATGTTTTTATCTGGCTCTTTTCCTAAACTTTAAAAATATTGACCAGTGAAACGCTAGCGACTGTTTCGAAGCATAACATAGACGACCATCGTTTAATAATATTCTTCTTCTTATATTTGAGGTGCCCACGATCAATTTGTTGATCATTCATATTACCAACTTTAAAAAGATGTGGTATCTCTGGATCAAGTTAATCGGTTTATTACTGTGCTTACGTTAATAGACGCATTCGTATCGTAATTAAATTTCATCCAAATCAAACTCTTTTTACAATTTATTTTATTTGTTGTTTTTATGGTTTTGCAAAAAGCTATCCTGTATAATATATCAGAATCTACGATAGGGGCGGTCGGGGTGGGGAGGGGGGGTGCACTAGGGATGAGGTCATCGCCGAAAAAAAAGTTTGAGAACCAATGTTTGAGAAAAAGAAAGATGTAGCTTGGTGTTAGACGATTATTCTACCTCGCCATAAATAGGCTAACTATTATCTTGTACTAAAATAAGATACTGTACTGTTGGTTAGGTCACATAGACATGTAGCAGTTAAATGTTATATCAGCAAATTTTCAACAACCTATTATCTTGTACTAAAATAAGATACTGCACTATTGGTTAGGTCACATAGACATGTAACAGTTAGATGTTATGTCAGCAAATTTTCAACAACCTATTATCATGTACTAAAATAAGATCTGCACTATTGGTTAGGTCACATAGACATGTAACAGTTAGATGTTATTTCAGCTAATTTTCAACAACCTATTATCATGTACTAAAATAAGATACTACACTATTGGTTAGGTCACATAGACATGTAACAGTTAGATGTTATATAAAGCAAATGTTCAACAACAGCAACAAATATTGACTGATCTGTTCTTGAGCAAGCTACGCCACGGTACCACAAACGTCCCTTTTTCAATTGTTATATACCACTGATTGCTTTTTGAGGCTGGTTGGTTCGTACTCACCGATCACAATGGTGGTGGACACAGAAACGTCTGAAAAGCTTGCAGTCACCCGACCTGACAGTGTAACAGGCAGTCTGCAGTCACAGAAGAAAAACAAATTATAATAGTTAAAATAATAAAACTATAAAATGAACACTGTCATCTGATGTTCAGTCTGTCGTTTCATGTGTCGGTCCATCAGTTGATCGGGGGGAAGACAGCTGTCATTATGATGCATGAGAGGCTTTAAACAAATTCCCAATACATGCGCTGATTTGAATGGTGAAGAAAGACAAGGTTGCTTAATTTAACATAAATATGTCGTTTCAAATCATAGGACATTTCGTATTCGTGACCCTTAAAATAATAGTTTCCCATTGCAAATGTCAATTCATTTAACTATCTATATTAATATTAGACGCAAAATGATTTGTCATTGCTATTCAGTGCAGCTCTATTTGAATTTTGGAAGGACTTGTACGACCTTTTTTAAGTGTTCTTTTTAAATTTTTTTTTTTTTTGACGTTGACAATTAGTTGTTTTATGGTTTTTAACGTCACATCTGTCCAGACAGGGACTGAGCTTTCATTTAATGGGACTAATTCAAACCAAGTCTACACATTAGTTAAATATTTCTTAAACGCAACGGTGGGAAACGTCGTGTCATAGAGTGGGAGGCCTTGGGGGGGGGGGGGGGGGGGGGGGGGGGGGGGTGTTAGAACGGGGTTGACGAAGCGGTTTGGGTAGAGGGGCTCGTGGAATCATTTAAGAGGAGTCTAGTTAAAGTGGTGGGATATTTATATATAGGGTGTGAGGCCGAGGAGAACTGTGGAAACTGTCAACATGATGATATCAGTGGTTAGTTAAAACAACTAGTTTTTAATGAGTTATTTACATTGCTAAAAAAAAAAATTAAACAATTCTACAATGTGTCCATTATTGACGGGGTTTACTAATATAAACTTACAAAAGGATCGTGTGTTTGGCCCAATAATCTGTGCTGAGCTCAATGTCATAGTCGTTCACGGCTAAGGTAAGACCGCTGCGGTCCGGCCTGAAGGACACGCTACTGGTGATCACTGGCACCTTTGTAATCTGAATACTGTTGTGTTTTTTTTGGTTTGTGGAATTAAAATACATGTATTATTAATACTGGTATTTGAGCTAAGCCATAGAAAAAAGATCCACAGATCCTGTTTCTTGTACCAAGGGGGCCAAACGACTGGTGATCGAGTGCTATAGACTTCAAAGAGGATGTAGTAGTGGCACACGTCATTTTTTAATGTACTTGGTGAGACGCGTCATTTAGAGGTGATGTTTAATGTACTTAGTGAAACAATTCATTTATAGATAACGGTTAGTGTACTTAGTGAAACTTGTCTTTAGAGATGAAGGTTAGTGTACATAATGAAACGTGTCATTTAGAGATGACGGTTAATGTACATAGTGAAACATGTCACTTAGAGATGACGGTTAATGTACATAGTGAAACATGTCATTTAGAGATGACGGTTAATGTATATAATGAAACATGTCATTTAGAGATGACGGTTAATTTACATAGTGAAACATGTCACTTAGAGATGACGGTTAATGTACATAGTGAAACATGTAATTTAGAGACTATTTTGATCGAACTACGGGGATAGATATAATATAACATAATATTGATTTATATATATATATATATTATTACTGAAAAATGTTTTAGTATGATGTGATTATGATTTTCATGTAGTATTTTAATCTTGCTTTATCAAATATATTTAATGAATATATAAAAAGAACAGGAAAAAACAGAGAAAAATTTCAGTTCTATTTGATCCACTTTTTTGCGTACAATTTAGGCACGGCTACGTGAAATAGATAATAGAGCGAGGAGAAGATTATTGATTTTTATGTGTTCAAATCAATACATCGGAAGTTTTCTCATCCCACAAGACTGCAGAAACATCATATAATCTTACACTAATTCAATGTAACTTACTTTTTCAACGAATACTGTGGATTTCCAGAGTAATCTTCCAAGTCATTTAAGGTAAACGACTGCAGACGCTCGTTTACTTTTGATTCCACAATTCTATTGACTGTAATTTTGATTGGTGCATAGTAAAAGGCAAATTGAGATTGACGAACTCCGTAATTATCTTGAGCTTCAGTTATATAATTGCTAATAATATACATGTGTATATATATATATATATATATATATATATATATATATATATATATATATATATATATATATGTGTATAGTAAAAGAAAAATTGAGATTGACTAACTCCGTAATTATCTTGAGATTCAGTTATATAATTGCTAATAATATACATGTGTATATATATATATATATATATATATATATATATATATATATATATATATATAAATGAGGCTGTGTATGTTAAATTGATCATAAACGTTTGCATTTCAGGCATTTAGTATCAAATCTAAACTAATAAAAATTTCATCCTACCATACTCAAGGCCTTTCTTTCCTATTCTAAGCTTGACCCCTGGGTTCAAGGCCAGCATCTGGCCTACACAGACTAGCAAACCCGTCAGTACAAGTGACTTCATTTCTGTTCAGATTAAAGATGAAATACATTTATAGACTTTCATTTTAATGAGACAATATTTGTTTGTAAGTCAACAAGGCCAGCCTCACCTTAAATGACATCATCCCCACATATGATGAAAACAAGATAAGCCTCACCGTAAATGACATCATCCATAATTAGGATGAAAACAAGATAAGCCTCACCTTAAATGACATCATCCAAAATTATGATGAAAACAAGATAAGCCTCACCTTAAATGACATCATCTCCACTTATCATGAAAACAAGATAAGCCTCACCTTAAATGACATCATCCACAATTATGATGAAAACAAGATAAGCCTCACCTTAAATGACATCATCTCCACTTATCATGAAAACAAGATCAGCCTCATCTTAAATGACATCATCCTCAATTATGATGAAAACAAGATAAGCCTCACCTTAAATGACATCATTCACACTTATCAATTAAAGTAAAACAAACAACAACAAAATGATGATTTTAGTAATGGCTTTTATTGTTTATAAATTCACATGAATGTGTAATTTCGTCAACTGCAACATTTCCTTGTGTCCCCTTGTTTGGCTGAGTAAAGCGAGACTAACCAAAGCTCTACTTGATGTAGGACGAGAAGGTATCAAACCAAAGCTCTACTTGATGTAGGACGAGAAGGTATCAAACCAAAGCTATACTTGATGTAGGACGAGAAGGTATCAAACCAAAGCTATACTTGATGTAGGACGAGAAGGTATCAAACCAAAGCTATACTTGATGTAGGACGAGAAGGTATCAAACCAAAGCTATACTTGATGTAGGACGAGAAGGTATCAAACCAAAGCTATACTTGATGTAGGACGAGAAGGTATCAAACCAAAGCTATACTTGATGTAGGACGAGAAGGTATCAAACCAAAGCTATACTTGATGTAGGACGAGAAGGTATCAAACCAAAGCTATACTTGATGTAGGACGAGAAGGTATCAAACCAAAGCTATACTTGATGTAGGACGAGAAGGTATCAAACCTTGAAATCCTCGTAGACGGCCTCCCGCAGGGGTCCTAATAACCAAAGCTATACTTGATGTAGGACGAGAAGGTATCAAACCTTGAAATCCTCGTAGACGGCCTCCCGCAGGGGTCCTAATAACCAAAGCTATACTTGATGTAGGACGAGAAGGTATCAAACCTTGAAATCCTCGTAGACGGCCTCCCGCAGGGGTCCTAGTCTCAGCAGCTGGGGCAAAGACGTAAAACAACGGCCTAAACAGGATAGAAGCCTACGCGGCTTGATGGAAAATGGTCGTAAATGCGGAAAAGGCTGTACAGTCTATATTCACAAATGGACGTAACGCTTTAAAGCATAACATTCGATTAATCATCATCGGGAAAGACCTAAAATGAAACAAGAATCCAGTGTACCTGAGGGAGAAGTTGGATCAGAAACTTCAACTTCACGACCATGTACACTAACTGTGCGCCAAAGCACCACGACCAAATTAAACCAGGGGGAAAAGCTCGCTTGTAGCGACTGGGGTGCAGATGCAAGACTCCTAAGAGCTATTAACACTGGGAGCGTAAGAGGAACAATGGACTACAGCTTCCCGGCCCAGGCTGTTGCGAGCCACACGGCACTAGCAGGTCTGGATCGCATACAATATCACGCTCTTCGTTTTCTATGTGGGGCGCTACGCACCACTCCAAAGACTACAGTAGAAGTAATGGTGGACGTAGAGTCACTTGAGATCAGAAGGCAAAAAGCTATACTTACGACGGCAGAACAATACAGTCCGCTAGACAGAACGGAATCATGTTTCCAACTACAAGACCGTTGGGAAAAGCAGACCAGGCTAAAGCGACCATCCTTCATGAACGAGGTCAACGCACTAGAGGAAAGCCTACCTTTATTCAAGAACACAGAAAATATGCGGCTGTTCCCAGCACTGGGCCCCCCATGAAAGCTTCAATATTCCTGATATACGTCTTACTGTGGCAAATACTGCGATCACAAAAACCAACCCTACGACAGACCAAAAGGAGGGAGCTTTAATGGCGATAAACGGGCGTGCAAGTGAAAACAGAAATGGCTGCGGCACACTCATTCAGGACCCAGGAGAGGTACCTCCAACTGAGGACATATGAGGGCCTAGGAGGGAAACATAGAACCAGCTTCGATGCACATAACTTGAAGTAATACTGGTTGTCCTTTAAAAAAAAGTGCACCAACGCCTAGCAACAAGGAAAAGTTTCCAAAGATACAATGGTCTTCGCCCACTCACGTTTTGCTATCGAACGGTTCGGAAGGGGCTTCCCTAAGACTGCAGGGGAAAAACGCCATTTTATAAACAGTTGATGGTATCCATGCACGAGGCCAAAAGGTTTTTTCTTCAGTACCTCCCTTGTCACACTGAGGTTACACAGCACGACAGGGCCGATACCCTTGCGCTAGAAGGTGCGGCCCAGCCCCAACCCGATAGGTCCATGACTTAGCTGGAAGTCACCAGAATATGCCACAGCAGCGCAAAAGGGACCCCTGGACGAAACTGAAACGTAACGAACGGAGCTTACTGATGCAAGTGAGGACGGAACACTGCCCGACACGCATCTATACCTGAAGCGACTAGACTCACTTAGGAATCTAAATTGTCGACTCTGTCGCCTGACTATCGAAACAAGGGATCGCCTGTTGCTCGACTGCCCCGGAAACGGTGGTGGTAATGGGGGTTTGAACGCGGAAACCTGTGTTAATATTTCATTCACGGCTATGTCCGCCTAATGAGGCAAGACGTTGTCGCAATGGACAGGGCCATAAGAGCTTAAGGTCGGCCTCATGAGGCAAGACGTTGACAAAATAGCCAGGGCCATAAGAGCGTAAGGTCGGTCTCATAGGGCAAGACGTCGTCAGAAAATTCCAGGACCATAAGAGTGTACGATCGGTCCTACAAGAGAATGCCATTTATATAGTACACAACAATTAGAACGCATTAAGTACAAATATGAAGATCGGATTCCTTGTATTGAGTTTTTACATTTGAGAGTATCATTGATGACGTAAAACTGCACGAACAATTATGCAAGCTGATGTCACGTGAACGATGAAGACAAATGGAATACGTTCTTGTAAAATCATAGGCTTCAGTGACAAATCTTGCCACGGCATTGTTAGGTTACTTAGAATTATTGAAAATCTGTTAATTTTAATTTTTCATTCCTGCTCATAACCCAAGCGGCGGAAATTTGCACTGGGTAGACCAAGGAGCAGAATAGACTTGATGTGGGGATCAGTGAAGGGGATAATGCTCACACAGTACACACAATATGCTCTTGGTGTGCTCGAATTTTTGTAGTTCCCGAAGAAATTTTGGTATAAACTAGCTAACTCGCAGAGTTATGTTTAAAAGACTAATTAGTAAATGAATGTCAAGTGTATGCTATTAAAATTATATTATTTTTCTAGGCCTGGTATATTTAGTTTAAATAATTTTGAAATGTCCTTTTTCAAAATATGTCATCTTTTTCAGACCATCAGAAAATGAAATGTCATCCTTTTCAGAACAACTTCAAAATGAAATGTCATCCTTTTCAGAACAACTTCAAAATGAAATGTCATCCTTTTCAGACCATTACAAAATGAAATGTCATCCTTTTCAGACCATTACAAAATGAAATGTCATCATTTTCAGACCATTACAAAATTAAATGCCATTCTTGTTTCATTTTTTTCATCTGGCAACCCTAAAACAACTAAATACAATTTAGCAATGTTTCCTCTAGCTGCACTATCTGAGTAGAAGTTCAAGAGATACAAAATTTGCTTCTCTCTGCGGTTTTTTCTGCACTCCCGACGAAAATATTCCTTGTGAAGCAGCGGGCCGCCCGCCCCTCAAAACGTTTCACCTGAGGCCCATCATCCCACACCCCCTTCCTAAGCTACTCCTAACGTAGCGGATTACCTGCGTTCCTACCTTGTTTGGAACAAAAGTCACCAATCGTCACACAGTCTGTTTAATAGAGTTCTTTTCAGAAAGTGGCGACTGCAAGGGATGTCTTCCACGTTAAATTTAAAGGAGATTTTTCACACAGCTGTTGTTTCAGGATCGTTGATTTAATTATCATTAATTAACACAGTGAGCACGTGTGACCGATTGCCGAGACGTCCAGTTAGTCAAGCTTATCGATCACGCAGTGAACACGACCGATCCGTTGGCTGATTTACGGTTGAAAAACTTACGGATGTCTTAAGTTATGTTTTCCCCTTTAAAAATATTTCCTTCTAAAACGCTCTGACCGAGGCTGGTCAACAAGAGTATTGAGTGAGTGGGGTGTGGGTGGGGCTAAATATCATGTGCAGCTCATGGATTTTTAAATTAATTTTTTTTTTAATCAATTTTCCACGCATTTTTTTGTTTTTGTTTTTTGTTGGCTTTCAGCCTGACGAAGTTTAAAATTTCTCATGTTTCATTTATACTATAATATATTATAAAGTCATTAAACACACAAGTTGGTAATGGAATAATTTTTAATCTAGCAAAGTTTAGCTGTCCCTTAATTTACCAATCCGGAAATATTCAGTTATAATATTTTTATATCTCTTAATCACAGGTTCATTTATAATTACTTTTTAATTCGCTCAATTTTAAGTTCGATAGTTTCACGAAATTTTATTTCTTTATTCTAAAAGTAAAGTCAACATTTATTTTTAATTTTTTTAAAAAATAAGACATTGCCCCCCCCCCACACACCAATCTGCTAACAGTTAAACCATTTCTATTCTTCAGAGGGGGGCATAAAGAAACGGGGCGGTAAATAAATGTGATAACTAGCGAGCGGCTTGAACGTGAGAGCACTCTCAGTGTATAACGAGAAACATCCTTCTAGCAGTGTACGAGCATAGCTGAAACATCCTGCTGGCCGTGTACATGTATAGCTGAAACATCCTTCTGGTATTGTACATGTATAGCTGAAACATCCTTCTGGCCATGTACGTGTATAGCTGAAACATCCTGCTGGCCGTGTACATGTATAGTGTATAGCTGAAACATACTTCTGGTATTCTACATGTATAGCTGAAACATCCTGCTGGCCGTGTACATGTATAGCTGAAACATCCTGCTGGCCATGTACATGCATAGTTCAAACATACTTTTAGCAATGTACTTGAACAGTTCAAACAACCTTCTAGCAATATTACAAGTATAGCTGTAAACCCCCTCTAGGAGTGAACATGTATAACTGAAACAGCCTTCTAGCAATATACTTGCATAGCTGAAACATCCTGCTAGCAGTGTACATGGTAATAAGGGGGAGAGACTGCCATCAGGTTAGCAAAAAAATCAAACAAACAAAAAACCACAGGAGATGAGTCAAACAAGTTTTGTGAAAGCCTGAGAAGGGAATGTGCTATTTTTTTTAATGTAATTCAAATTAGCCTAAGCGGTCCAATCATNTTTTTTTTTTTTTTTTTTTTTTTGGTAAATAATAAAAAATAAACAATCTGGCGTGTTCCCTTCAATCGAAGTACCAGGGACTACCACCCCCCCCCCCCCGACACACACATACACAAACACCCCATCGTAAAAGAGAAATCCATCTTTCCAGACTTCTTAAGGCAGTTAAACTAAAATTGATATCATATCACTGCATAGTTCATCTATTGATATCATATAACTGCAAAGTTCATCTCTTCGGTTATGTGTTCAAAAAACTGAGAAGTGAATTTTCTGAAGGGATGGCAACAACCATGAAACTAATAACTTTAATAATAAGCAATTTTATTCATTGCCAGCATCGACTGTTTAAAAGTTTCTCTGATGAGTCGTGTGCAGAACATGGTGATTTGAAATGCAATCTGATCTAAGATTGCTAAGGAAAGAAAGTGTTTTGGAACGATGTTTAAATACTTCGTGAGATTTTTATTGACTTTCTCAAAATTGGAAACTTAAAGACGTCTGGATTTGTTTGTTTGGTTGGGTTTTTTTTTTTGGGGGGGGGGGGGGGGGGGGGGGGGGGGTTTTTTTTTTTTTTTTTTTTTTTTTTTTTTTTTTTTTTTTTTTTTTTTTTTTATTTAACTGATGTGGCCTTTTCGGCTTGAAGCTGTGAAAAAAACATCCGAAACTGGAGCCTCGTGACCAGGACATAGCAGTGTAAGTGTCCTGGTACGAGTCGTTTACAGAATTGGTATCCGAATATTAGGAGACTAGCGGTTCAATTCTTGAAAATGTTTGTATCACAGTGTGATCACAAGATAGACATCTGGGGAAACTCAATTGCGAATAGCCATTTTTTGACCATTTTGAGAGAGGCAAAAGACAGTTTAATTTCTCCCATTGACAGTGTTCAGACATCAAAGAAACGAAAGAATGCCGCACTTCTTTTAAGATGTTAGTAAACTAAAACAGTGCTAATTTACAGTACTGAAACAAAGTTATTGCTCCCTATTATTCAACTTAAATCTAACAAGAAAATAATTTTCTTTTGATATGTTACCATCGAAAATTGTAACATTAACTGTACGTCTAATGAACGATGAAATGACTTGGTGGGACTTAAAAGTTTGGCGGACCGGTGGATAATTTTCCCTTTGCACAAGAGTATGTATCATGTCGTATGCAAAAATCTGTCCCTTTAAACCTTTGAATTTCGCGTTCAATTTATATTGCCGGAAGTAACATTAACTATGGTAGCGAAGACATTTTTTTTTTAAAATTATTTTTTTAGTTCTTGTTACTTCCGGCAATATAAATTGAACGCGAAATTCAAAGGTTTAAAGGGACAGATTTTTGCATACGTCGTACAAACGTTGGGTGTTTTTATGTCAAAGACAATCTCGATTTTAAAGAGTTTTTTTAATTTTTTTTTTTTTTTTTCTTTAATGTGGTTCAATGTGGCGTGTATTCTGCCCATTCCTAAATCAAAGTCCTTAGATATGGGCATACGTGTCATTTTCTCCCAGACAATTTTAAAAGGGTAAAGAGCCTTCAGCAACAAAAATGCGTTAATGATTAGAGAATTAGCTTTAAAAAATTGAATGAAGTGAACGCGATAAAAAAAAATAAATAAATAAACACAAAGCAAAGGTCACCAAACTGGTTTTTCCACAGTGGGCCGGATAACTGAAAAATGCTGAGCGCGGGCCATTCTGTACAAAACGTGCAAGCCAGAACTAAAGCTCTGGGAAAAAAATAAGTTGAGTGTTCTGAGTTAATCCTGGGTGAGTGGTGTGTAATGCACAAAAAACTAATACAGCTAACATGTTTATTTACTTTTTTTTTAAAGTTATCAAAGAAGGTGACGTTAGCAATAAGGTATCTACATCAGACTTAGTGAGCACATATTCGAATCTTAAAAACTCAAACTAAGCAGCAAAAAGGTTAGTGAGATTTGCGAAACTGACGTTTGACTTTCAAGATAGCATCAGTGTTTGGTTTGGAACTGCTGAATCCCATCAGGAGAATTGCTTTCAAATGTTCATTAGTCAATCTCGTTCGGCGAGTTGACAAACATTACAATAGTAATGAACAAAAAAAACAAAAAAAACTAGATACAATAATTTAAAATTGAAAAATGGTGAATTTAAGGCGTATATGAGCCATGAGGTGAAGGTTGGAGATCTTTTACAGGGTGGGCCAAAAAAAGTGAGAACATCTCGTAAAATATTACGCTACGAAATGTTCTCATTTTTATTGGCCCACCCTGTAGTATTCCAAACATAATATTTAAATTTAAATTGTATCACAACGTCTCGTATTCCATACGTTTTATCAAGCAAATTCAAGTAGCCCTCGGCGGGTCTGATTTGTTTTAAATGTGGTAAATTATAGACTTGTTTTTTTTGTTGACTTTGTACCGCGCTTCGAGCCTTTGGGGATGAAGCGTGTTTTTTAAATGAACTTTATTATTATTATTATTATTATTCTGGTGAATTGACGTCGCGGGTCGGATCCAGCTCGCGGGTCGTAGTTTAGTGACCCCCTGAAACAAAATGTAGCACACTGCTGGTTTTAGGTGAATGAATGACCGGCTTAGCGTTGTAACATTAAAGGAAATGGTAGAAGAAGATATGTTTAGGCTTGAAATTATTGTTAAATTAAACGGGATTTCCGACTAAACGCCTTCTTACGCTGACAAGAAAAACAACAAATAATTTCATATCAAAAACGTATGACGTATGCTTTCGAAGGTCACAATGTTTTTCTTTGTTTAGAAACGAATACGCTCATAAAAATAAACATTAAAGAAACGAGAATCGCGAGAATCAATAATGATTTTGATAAGGGCATTGGACTAGAAGAATCGGGTGGTTGACACAGTGAATATTGAAATTTGCATAATATTGAGGAATCTTTTTGTGATACATTTTCGTAATACCTCTGTCAACCAGAAAATAATGAAGTCAATTCAATATATTATAATAAGTTTATCGTATTTTACCTAGACTACATATTTTAAGTTCAATAAATATGTGTTTTGGAAGTCTGTAATGTTTTAGATTAATTTTATTTCACTGCTGTTTTCCTTTTAATTTTAATAGAAACTATGTGTATATATTTATTATTATTTTTTTTTTTTATGTTTTTATAATTTTGTCACTATATTTTCCGATTTTCGGTTATTAGAGTCTCCACTTTACTTACTGGATAATCTGTAAACAATTTTGATCCAAATAAAATGCCATTTTATGCATATTTTTAGTTTTATTTGCTATATTTTTATCAGACAAATATTTAAGATTGTTGATAAATATGTTTGCAAGTGTCAAGTGTTAAATATTTTTGCAAGTTGACAAAAGGATCTGATATGATTCTCTGTCAATTCTCAGTTCTCGGTAAGTAGGGTGAACGCTCTTGAATTGTGTTCATTCCTTAAAAATTTAAATGAAAAGTATGAAATGTTTCCAAGTCCTAAAACTAAAAATTCATGTTTGATTTTATTTATATCGATATTTGTTATTACCTCAATACAAAGAAAAAGATAAGCCTGTGTTACAAAGTAAACTAACTATCTTCTTTTGTTTCGGTGAGCAAATGAATTAATTATATAACATGATAATTAAGAAATTAGTTAAGACAGTCAAGTATAGTATAGTATAGCCTATAGCCATATAGTTAGGCCTACTATGCATGATACGGTGTATAATATTAATATTAGGCCCATAAGTTCAGATTAGAATAGGCTAATTTAAAATAAAGTTATGTGGTTTTTAGTTAATTTATCATTTAAACAGTAACAACTTTCTATTTTCTAGTAGTAGGCCTAAGTGTTGTTAGTTGTCAAGTTAGTGTAACAGTAGCAGTGTAAGTAATTACTAAGTCGACAGTAGATAAGTAGACTATAGACTATAGTAAAGTTGGTTAATTCCTTTAATATAATTGTAGCAAAATATGCCATAGTGTAATTTTTTCTAAAATAGATTATAAACTTATTTCATTAAAATTAAAAGTATTTTAAAGTAAAATTACTATTTTTGTTCAAGTACAGTAACCATTAAACAAATTGTGCAAGATTTTAATTTTTAAAAAGTACATTACAAATTACATGCATCTCTTGTCATTCACCGCACTATTATGGGGTAAGGTAGGCAAGAGGCAAAAGAAATGAATTCAAAATTAATTAACCCTTACGGCACTGACCTACTTTTTGCTTTTATTGTCTCAGTACCAGCCATTAATTGGCTAATTATTCCCTGTGGCCCAGACATTATTTTGGAATGAGTCAAAATTTGATAGGATTGTTAATTTATTTTGTAACTTTTTTGTATTAAATAATTGATAGTAACATCTTGAGAATTATCTGTTCAGAAATGGATAAGGGTGTTAAAAAATACTTCTAATCCCAATTAAAGCTCAATAATATTTTCAGAACAAAAGGTTTCATCAAGTGGGCGAAAGTCGCCATCAACAATAGTGATTAGATAGCACCAGGGAAACAACAAATACAGATCCACATAAAAAACTCAGTAATTGGTCGATTTTCATAATTTAAAAGGCAAATTAAAATTTGACTATTCCCCTAACGAATAAACATCCTGCCCGAGACTGGGGTAAAAGGTTATATCCTCGTTTCTGTGTTTTTATTAGATACCCCTCTATGTGGCAAATAGACGCGCTTGGCCACAGGGAAAACAATCGGCTGGTGAAAAAAGACGCGCTTGGGACACAAGGAAAAATTAGTTCACTGCAAAAAGACGCGCCGGGTACTGTTAGGGTTAATAGATAAGAGTAAGAGAACCCTAAAAAATTTCCATTGGCCGAAAACTGGTCTGGCACAAACATGGAAAACCCCCTGACATGGAAAGAGTTACAGCTAGCACTTATAGCAATGCCACCTGTAGACCAAAGTTTGAAGTGAGTAACACGCACACACACCCACCCCCTGGAAAAAATTATTGTTACAAATTTAAATTTTTTTAATGAAAATAATTAAATAATTTTGTTAATGTAGTTAACTATCTAAAAACAAGAAAAAAAATTACCAATTCAAGGGATGCACAAACAAAATTAACCAGTAAAACATTTACTGCTGGTTATCCAAATGCATAAAAGCTTTTTTTTTAAAAAGGCAGTAACAAAAAACGACAATGGAAGCAAATACAATGTTCTGGGTCTTCCACAGTGGTTAAGAATCACTTTTCTATTTCTAGGGAAATTTTTCTGACACAGGTTTTTTTTATATTCATGGGAGGTGATTTTTTTAAGGGTTTGTAAAGAACAGTAGTGGCCAGTGGGATTTTTGTATAGGGGAGCAGAGGTTTGTGATGTTATATTTAGGGGGGGGGGGGGGGGGCTAACTTTTTGTGATGATTTGTGACAATGGGGTGAGGGGTGAAACTTTGCAAAATGTGTGTGACGTCATTTAAGGATGGCCCCTTCATGTGCCTCTTATGTATGGAAAATGAACCCCTACGATGTATTGAAGAAGTAGTGTAGTACGCTATGTCGAAAAAAAATTTTTAATAAGGCACAAGGGCATATTTATTATCATATTTATTCTAGCCTTTACCAACACCTTAATTTTAGATTTAAAACTATGAATATACTGCAGACCAGTAGTTCTCAATGGGCGTGCCGTGGCACTGTAGTATGCTGCAGGATTACTTATTTGTGCCGCAAAACTTCTGAAACTTTGTGATAGTGCTGGTAAAAGTAATTAAAATGATATAAAATAAAATTCTTTTATTGATCAAAATAAACGGAAATGGTTGGAGTTTTTTTATTACGGTACGTTTCATTGTGCATACCTGTCAATATCAGCTGATTCATAAATACATATCTTAACTAAGACAACATTTTACAATTGAGCAAGTTAATCTTAGGTATAGAGACCGACCGAAAGTGATTTTCTGATTTCGTCCAAAACCAAAACTAGGCCGAAATTTAAAAATGACTTTCGGATGAAGCTGAAACCAAAAGCTTAACAAGACTTTCGTTTGAAACCAAAACCAAAATATTTAGATATTTTGAAATTCTTTCACGCATACATTCTGCATACATCCTAAAATGATGGGGGAAAGTATCAATATTTACATGCTTTTTATAAGAAATGAGATCATCGTGAATATTAATAAATAAACATCTAATAAAAACTTGGCTTTTAACATTTTAATTTAAAATTAATTGAAATTTCTTTAAAATGTTTTTTAAGTAGTGTGGTAAGAGCATATGTGGACGGGGGGGGAATTCATGCAAAATAGACCTTGACCTTGATATAATGACATTCTAGAATATTGGGTAATATTGTTAAATGCAAATCAAGATTGGCCAAAGAACAAATTATAATTCATTTATTTTAGGCCTTTTGCTTTTATGTAATGTATCGGTTTACATTTTAAAATAGTTTCATGAAGAGCTGTTTAAAATAAAATTTCTGTGTGTTTAAAATTGTTAAATGAACTGAACATTGTCTTTCATAAAGGAATGGAAGCTGCCGAGGATGTCTCAAAAGAGGAACAGCTTAACACTGTCAGTGATGGACCAAATGTTGTCACATACTATGCCACGGAACAAAACATTGTAGATTCTAGTCAGCAAACTCTGCCTAATGCAGGTTCCAAATTTAACACAAATCAAAATATAGACATACCGGTTGTTGAAAATATTATATCTCAGGATGACACTGAATATAGTGACTTTCAAGTGTGTGAGCAGAGTACTGAGTTAATTTCTGAATCAGGGGCAAATAACTATCATATAAGTGCTGAAGAAATTATTGAGGAAGAAAGCACAGAGAAAGACACTGTCTCTCAGCCCATTGAACAATGCTTAGAATTTCCAGACTTATTAGAAAAGAGTGCTAATGATAATTTTGAGATACAAGCTGTGGATTATAATGTTAAAGACCCAACATCATCATCTTCAAATAAAGAACCTAGCACCTCAAGAGAGGGTTGCACACTGAGACATCGCATTGATCCAGAACCTGCTCGAGCTGCTGCCGATGATGACAGTGACTTTGTAAAAGTCCCAGAAGATGGTGAGAAATATTTTGTATCCTTAGTATACATTTTTTAAACAATATTTTTGATACCGGTACATAAATTTGATTTTGAAGATATATTTTCTCAAAAGGTGTATTTTCTTTGCAGTAGTAAAAGACAAATACTGGGTACCGGTAACATAGAATTAAGGCAAATATCAAACATGTCCATTAATTGCTGTTGGTGAAAATAAATTACATGCCTAAAATGTGGGCGACAGTACATTGGGGGAGAGAGGCTGTCAACTTGGTAGCAGATTAAGTGTCTAGACATATAAGTAATTTAAAGAAATGGGAACTTTGCACAGTATCTGATCATTTTAACAGAGCTGTTAACAGGGGAATTCTAGATATTGCTATAACTGGTATTTGAAAGATTAATATTACATATTCACTATGCGTGTTTTATTTTAGCATTATAAATATTCTAAATCGAGTGGACATGAATTTGAATTGGTGCATTTCTGCAAAATGCATAAGACATATTTATTCTTATTATTTGTTTTCACATTTTCTATTATACCGGTACACACAACGGTCATGTTACCGGTATCTAAAATAGTTTTATTAATATACACTATTGAAACTTTCAGAACCCATTCCAAAAGGCACAAAAGAGAAACATAAAATAGCCTTGATTCGCAAAGCATTAGATGCTAATCCAATTGATATGGCGGCTTTGAGAAACTTGGCTATAAGTCCAGGTGGCTTGGTGAATAAGAAAATGAGACAAAAAGTCTGGCCATTGCTTCTAAATGTCAACACTGAGAACATCCCCCCAAAGCCTTGTAAGTATCAAATGAAAATAAAATTAATAATATTGAATCACTTGGTATCTGAATTTGTGAAACTTTAAAAAAAAAGATACTACTGTACGGGTAATGAGAGTATTCTTGATTTGAAAAAGAAAAACGGTGAGTTTTGCTTTTATCCAGATGTAAAAATCTCTCTTCAATTCTTGCTGTTTTAGTTAAGTGCTCCTTGAATTACTTTTAGAACCAAATGTTTTTTCTAAATATGCAAGCTACCAACAATACAGAGCAGCCTTAAGTTAACTTTGGTCACTCAATTTTACTTCAACACTATGGAACAGCCTTAGTAGAAGTTTCTCACTAAATTTTACATTCTTTCAATCTTAAATAGCTTACTACAATGATGATTACATTATTCTATGATCTTATTGTCTATTGTTTGTATTGTTTGTTTTGCCTATGTAAAGGTTCTTCCAATACTTAAATGACATGAAATAATATGTCACCCCAAAAATGATGCTGGGCGTAAGAAAAGTTTGGCGATTTCGACATGCCTACTTATAAGGGCTGCTCATCCCTTACTTCGATGTTTTAATTCTTCATTATTTTTTATTTTTTTTTTAAATTCATGTTGTTCATTACTCTTGGTTTTGATAGCACAAGAAGAAATGATGGCTTTGTCAAAAACATATGCCCAAGTTGTGATGGATGTTAACAGGTCCAGCAGTAGATTTCCACCTGGTAAGGGAAAATAAGATTTTAACTTTGACTTTTAACTTCTAACTTTGATTGTGCCATATTAATATTGTGTACAAAAAATAACTGTGTTGCAAAGTGAACATTAATTTAAGCACCTACTCCTTGCAGTAGGCCGACACTTAAGTTAATCCAGCTAAACTCATCAAATCACATTTATTAAATTTCACATTTACAAGAAAGGCTGTATATTTTTTATGTAATTACTTCTGTTACTCCATCCAAGCTTTTCCTAAATACTGACTCCCTGAAGCCAATTCAAGACCTTTTGAACATTTCAACATTTACACTGGGGAAATGAATTGCTCTATGTAGTTCTGTTTTTTTAATCATTTTAAAATTAAGTTTTTAAAAAGGAATCATATATTTTTTTCAGCAAAGGAGGATGATATTTGGCTAAATCCAAAAGCAAATATCTATGTAATTTAGCATAAATGATTTGTATTTTGTAAGTGAATCTCATTTTTGGAACACATGGTGGGCCACATAGAATTGAATTTTAACTCTACCAACTTTAAACTTAGGTATTGATGACCATGTACGCATGTCTATGAAAGATAAACTTGTCGATCTGATCATGCGTGTGATGCTAAAGAACAGAAAACTGAAATATTACCAGGTAAACTATGTTAAAATTCTGAGTTCTGCATATTGGAAGATAATTTTTTTGACTTTCATTTGTTCATCTTTTGTGCCTTAGCTTTTTTTTATTCGGTAGCATATGAGGTTACTATTATTGCTTCAGTTGGTCAACTTTTTGAATTTTAAGCTTTTTTCTTATTATATTTCAAATTGTCTTTCATCTAACTTATCTCAAATCTGTTATTATGTTACTACTTTTTCTTGAGGGTTTCCATGATGTTTGTATAACATTTCTGTTATGCATGGATGAGGACCTTGCCTTTGCCATGGTGGACAGACTTGCCTTGGGGAACATGAGGTAGTTTTACACTATGAAATAGGAAGAATGCTTTTTTTAAAAAAACTACATATAAAAGAAAAATGATTGTGAAGCATGGAAATATATAATAGTGCTTTTAGGCTTGTTGAGTAAAATAAAGAAGTATTGAAAATACTTTTTATGGAGTCTTTTATAAATTTTGTCAAGTTTTAACCATTATATATTAATGTATCAGCTTACATGCAGCGTATTTTGGTCTTTATATCTGATAATCATTATTTTGAGTAAAGTAGTGTCAATTACAGAGAAATTCCATGCTGACTGTTTACACTAATTATTTATCACATTATTGAGTCATATGAAACATTACATATTTTTATCAGGTTATTTTAGTCATTTGGCAACTTAAAAGGAAAACTTCAAAATTAATGATAGCTGGACTTTTTGCGAAATGCGCACAAAATAAACACTATTTAAATTTTAATTTATTTTATATGACAGTTGCATCATTTCTATATGAGGCTGTTTTGTTTTAAATCAACACTTTCACTATACTATTTCATAATCAAATGTTTTAACATTTTAATACCTGTATTGGATTTTATAGTAATCGTAATTCTGTTTATTTATACGATCACAAATGATTTGATTGATTGTAAAGTCATAGATATTGAAAAGTCTTAGAGGTTTTCTCATCCTATAGTAAAACTTAAGTGTTAAACAAAATTATTTTCCATTATTCAGATTACTGGGTTATTTATTTTATGTCAGTAGTTAGGAACGTTTTACTCTCACTGTATTTCTTGTTGTGTCTGTTAAATTAAGTATTGCCTACCTTTTGTCAATTGGTAATGTGAACTTTTAAAAAAGTTACATCAATCCTCTCAAAGTTTCATTTACACCTTGGTTCAGAACTACTTGAACACTTGATACCACATGAAAAACTCAAGTCCCAATATGTCCATAATATAGAACTATATTATAACTATTTAAATAATTGTTATTTTGTTATGGTATATAAATGCTTTGTGTTATTCTAGAGAGTATTTGGATGACACAATGGAAAGAACATCTTTATTGTTGAATTACATCTACCCTTTAGTCAACAAGTGCAATCCTGAACTCTGTCAACATATGGAAAGGTAGATCAGCTAAAAATAGCCTTTTTCATAGCTTCATTGTTTTATCTTTTGGGATGTGAGAGGTTGGAAATTAAATGCAACTATTGAAATCCCATTATATTTTCTGTTGAACTTAGTAACTATCAAACCTGGTCATACTAAATTCTGAAAATTAAAGTATCCCTATATCTACATAAATTGTCAACTTTTACATACAGGTATGTGTTACAAACTCAACTAAAAATAGTAATTACACTTAAATTATATTTCTCAAGAACAGGCTCTTGTTTAAATTATTGCCTCTTTGTACTTTCTGGATTAATCCCTGGTATCAAATTTAAATATGCATATTGTTTGATGTATTCAGGTTTGTTTAAACAAAAATTTAAACAGAAATAAATTGAAAAATTTTCATTTTTCTTATAAATATTTGTTAAAAGCTCAATTGTAATTTTATTTGAGATTACATTTAGTAATGAAGTAATAAATGTATGGTACATAATGTGTTGAGACAGTTATTACATTTTATTATGAAAAACACTGCCTGATTTTTAAAAAACATTTTATTTGATCTTAAAATTGATAGGTAATAGAGCTAGTCCCAAGCATAATACTACCAGGTATAAAAAAAAAACATATAAATTCAAGGTTAATTCACAAATAATTGGGTGTTCACTGTATGTCTCTTTCAAAAAAAAAAAAAAGATGTGACCTAGGTACAATTTTTGCTCTGTCCTGGGTCATCACTTGGTTCAGCCATGTCCTGGGAGATATCAGGAGGATTCTGAGGGTGTTTGATTTCTTTTTAGCCTCACACAGACTTATGCCAGTTTACTTATCTGCAGCTGTGAGTCTTACGCCTTAATATGTTTTATCTTCAGATTTATAATTACATTTTAACCAATTTTGATCATTCAACACAATCCTTATGCATTAAAAATTAAGGGAAGTATGTTCTAAGATTTTTTTTTTTTTTACTGCTGCGCTGTACAATAATACTTTTTTTAAAGGAACTTGATGAAGATTTTGATCCTCTTACAAGCAGTTTTCATTGTTCTAATTCATCATCATTTTAATATAACATCACACATCACTAGACGCTGTGTTCAGTGAAGGTATACATTTTAATATATAAATTCTCATATCAATATTTTCATGCATCAGAATGTGGCATTAGTGGTTAACATAAAATGTAATGTTGCATATTGTCTCACCAGTTTGTGTTACACAGAGAAAAAGACATCTATGCTGCTGGTGATGAAATGGGCTACATCCACAAATGTCTTTCAACCATACCATCAGACCTTCCACTGGAAAGCCTGTTGGAAAGAGCAGGGGACCTTTACCTGCAGTATCCACCTACCGAGATCAGCAATGATCCCATGCTGTTACGCATGAACAAGTGAGATTTACACGCTTTTGTGCCTAATTTATGGAGTAAAAATTATCTGAAGCTGAGGTTCACATTTTCATTTTTTGAAAACAATCCTCGTCCCCAGTATTTAGTTTGTGGAGATCTACTTGCGAATGAAAATATGGTACCCAACACATTAAGCCGTCTTTTTAACTCAAAACGCTGTCATTTATGACAAAAACAGAAGAATACTTCACTGAGCTTTCAAAATCAATTTTAAAAAGCAGCCTGCATCATTTATCAACCGAATGAACACAAATAAGAGAGCTTAAGGGGCAATTTTAACTGATTGCTCAAATAAGTGCTGAAACAAGGATCCTCACACTATTTCCAAAACAACCTTAAAATACCTATTTTATCTTTATTTCATAACATTAGGAAGGATATTTTCAAGTCTATAATAAGTCATTTCAATTAAATTTTTTTAAAAAGGAATGCTATCTTTGCTTTAAAAGAATGAAAAATTGGGTAGATTACTACTCACGGTAAACAAAATTTATATATTTTTAAAAATCTCTACTGAACATGAAATGTCAGTTCTAAAGTATAATTTTAAATATAGATCCATTTTGTTTTTTTTTAAAATGTAATTCTTTTTATTTATGCAAGATTTTTTTAAACTGTTCCAGTTCAGATTGTGACAGTTAAAAAATTTCTTCTTCAAAAGACTTTGTTTTCCCGCTCCTTAAAGTAAATTAAAATTCTTTTGAGCTTTTTCAAATTTTTTCTTCACAGGCAAGTTTATGAACACTTTAATCGTATTGACAGTCGCAATGCAGCGCGCCGCTTGGCCCAAGAAGCCAATGAAGTGCGCAGCCGACTGTTTGTTAGGGCCACCATGTGGACTGTAACATCAGTGGTGGTTGTTGCGGCAGCTGTTTTGTACCATGCTTACCGAGGACAAGAATGGGATTTTGTGGATATGTGGAGTCCATTCTCTTAGCACTATGTCTGTTCTTGTCTGGATTGACTGATGATTGTATGTCATAAAGAAAAAATAAATGTCTTCTTACTGAATGCCTGCGAGTGAGTTTATTATGCCTTTTAAAACATGGAAAGATTTATTTGTAAACACAGATGGTCTACCTTGTGTAGATTTTAATGCACAATTTAGAAAATGGTGGCATGTATTATTTGTTTAGAACTATTTAAATTTTTAAAATTTCATCATGTGTTCAATAGAGACCAATTTCATCTTGGAATTTTCATTTTCCTACACATCATTAATCAGTTCTTTTAAAAGGTTTTCTAGAGAGCTAAAGTGTACACTTGAGACAACATAGGTTTTTTGTGGCAGACATAACGAATGCCCGTTAACATTGCAAGAATGACTAAAATATATTTAGGCAGCAATGGAGCTAAATTAATGCTATTCTTAAAGCAAGACTGGACAAATATCTATAATCACAAAATTCCAATTCACAAGGAAACACAGAACACAAAGATTTTTTGAACCAACCATTGGAGTCTCATTATATGCATATCCTCTCTGTATATATTATTAGCAATATGTTCAATTATTCACCTTGAAATGGTATTATGACAGCTATGGTGGTCATTCTCTAAAAAATAAAGCCAGATTTTTATGTTATTTCAGTGTATTATGCGAATTTTTTATCCAGTAAATCAAATAAAGGGCACAGTAACAATCCTCTATTTATTTAGTATTATAACATTGTTACAGGAGCCTTTTCCGATGTATAATTAAAGGATAACATATGAGTGACTGCATTTCAAGCCTTGTAAAAATAAATAAATGGTGGAACAAGATATGTTTAGGCTTCAAAAAACAGACCAGACAATGTGTACTTAAACCCATTGTGTTAAAATGAAATGCTTAAAGTAACACTTATTGAAAACCCGTTTGTATATATCATTTGTTTATGCGTTATAAAAAGAAGCTTCTCTACTACTATTTAAGCTGTTTTCCCAGTGCCAACATGTGATACCGTTGTACAGTTATTTAAAGTTTGTGCGTTAGATTTAGATTGAAATATGCATTATTATAATGAATCATGAAATAATTACAATTAAATTGTTTTTCAAATCTTAACTAAAGGATATGCTTAAAAAAACTTGTAAGTTAGATTTAAGTTGTTCTTGAAATTATTTTTTTTTTGACTTTTTCCCTTTTTAACATCATTTTTATTTTAGTAATATGCTTTAGAAAACATACTAAGATAAATTTATTTAAGCATGAAAACACAGGCTTTAGAAAGACTGGTATGAAAAAAAGGGCAGCAGTGTGAAAATAGGTCAGCGCGTAAGAAAGAACACTTGAAGAAAGATTTAGAAATGTAATTAATTTTTGTAAAAATTAACCAGTGGTGGGCTAAATTTTTTCCAAAACGACACAGTTGTGGCAAATGAAAAGTAAATTCACTACACTACCGGTATATGTAAATCATGAAATGCCAAGATTACATTAAAAAGAAGTGAGCTGTATATCAGTACCGGTATTCATATTTTAACAAAATTGTATTCAAAATTTGATAGTTTTCTATCAATCAAAAAGCTGCCCAAAAATGTTGTTGCAATTATTGCACACAGTGCAACCCCTCTTCTCTGACCCAGAATCACAAAAACTATTAGGGATCTTTTATTTTGAATTTATGAATATCACTGTAGATCCCGGGTAATGCTCATTCACAGAACCGTTAATCCAAAAGTGAAAATAATTTCAGAGATGACCAGCTCTAATGTTTCAAGATTTCTGTCGGTCAGAATAACGTTCAACAATTTCAACCTCCATCCACTTTTTAACTTAACTCTGCGTTGTCCACAAGCATTTCTACTGATCTTTCCTTTTAATTTTTTTTTTTTTTTCAAAATGGTCGTTTGCCACATGTGTCGATTGCCAATATGGTTGCCCACCCTTGTATGTAGCATTTTTTTTTATCAACTTTAAGTTAAAGCACTTAAACAAATGTCATTTAATTATGTTCATCATTATGCTGAAGTAAATTTGAATGATATACCTCTGAATATTTTGATTAAGACTTTAGGTGCAAATGCTTGTTTCAGCAGCTAGAATGTGTTTCTTATTGTGTGTGTGTGAAGGAGGGAGGGGGGGTGGGGGTGGAGGGGAAGGTTGAAGGAGGAATGGAGGGGCAAGGCTTGGTTGTAGAACAGCAACAAAACGTTGTTTTTTTTTTAATGGTAAAAGGTTTGGTGGAGAAGTGATGTTCAAAAGCAGTTACCTTGTTTGGGGTGTTAAAATGGCTTCCAATCTTACTTAGAAAATCCTTAACTGGTAATTTTTCAAACTTGATGCTAAAAATTTGGACTGAAACTAATGTCATTTCCTCACCTAAGTCAGGTTTATTTGTGTGCAATAAGCTTCTTTACTCATTCCTTTGTATGTTTCTTTTTGATTTGCATTTAATTTATTTCTATAATTTTTTTGAGGATTTTCATGCTAGTATGCACAATTATGTATTAAAAACAAACAGTCAGGCTGTAACTTGTAAATGTTTGCTTTATTTTGTGCATTAGGCTAAGAATAAACTGTTGTTATTATTAAGCTTGTATTTAATATAGTATACTGCAATCTAATTTATAATGAAAGAGAAAGCAAGGTTCATATGTCCCATTGCTCGTCAAAAGAAATAAGAATAAACACTTATCTATTAGATAGAATTATGATCTATTACAATTCCTTTTTTTTTTTTTCAGTTCTTTGCTTTTTTAAAAATCCTTTATATTAACTTTGCTTTTGTTTATGTGTTTCTTTATTTCTGTCTGGGTTTGTGGCAAAATCCTTGAACGGCTATTTGACCCACTTCCCCTCAACATATCAAGCTGAAACTTGGCACCTAGACTCATTGCCGATGACAACACATCCTTTCAAATTTTCAGCCCCTATCTTCAAAAATCAGTTTTTCCTGTTTTTCAAGGGAAAGATGAAGGATGCCACTGAAAGCACAAATAAAATTTCTGATAGCTGCGCTGAATGAGTATTAATATTAAATAAAACTTTTAAAAACCTATAAAGGATTTATATGAAAAACTTTGTTTTTAAGGGTTGGCTAATTAATACTTTTAGCTGGTCTAAAGTCTGAGAAAACATCTGTTTAAATAGAGTATCCATATTAAGGTAGATAATATTTCTGTTTCAATAACATTTTTAAATTAAATAAAAAGATAATTAATCGGTTTATAAATATTTTTGATTATAAACATATGATCATAATTAATCACAACATTATGAGTAAAGTTTTTTTAAATAGTTCAACCTTTCTTTTTAAAACACCACTTACTTATACATAACGTTAAACAAAATTTCTCTCTCGACTCTTACTATTGGTCAATAGGTCCATTTTGAACTGATAGCTTCTCTAGCTCTTGCTATGTTGCTAATTGAAAATTACAAGTTAATTTAACAAATAAAGTACAAATTGACCTGATGCACCAGCACCATGGCTTAACATATATTTTAAACAATTGATTTTTGTTTTACCCATTATGAGTAAGATACATTCTGACACTGTAATTTAGTTCCTTCTTTTATTAAGAATAATTTCATAAATACACATCAAAGAAGCAGTGAAAGTATTAATTGTTTTCAAAAAATTATTTTCACAATATGCTTATTTCTGACATAAAACTACTATTGACAAGAGCATTCTCTAGATCACTTTATTAAGTGATTTTGTTGAGTCTGCTTTGTTTTTATTCGTCCTGAACACTGTCTTAATCAGATGAGTCTGACTGGAGGTACAGCCATTTTTAAATTGGACTAAAAAAAAATTCTTATTTTGTCTTTTATGAAGTGGTTGTGGTACTTAAAATATGGTTTTATAACATGTGAAGCTGATTTACGCAAAGGGTTTAAATGTTCAGGTTAGCTAATGCAGATAATCATTGATGATCAAAATCTGGCCTAAATATTTTGGCACCTTTAAAGCCATTAACTGAAGTTTGGAGTTATGACACTGAGGAAGAAAGATTTCTATAGCACAATTTTAGGAGTTATTCCAATATTTTAACAGTCTCACAAATCTTATGAAAACATCTGAGTGCCTTGACATGATAGTTTTAAACTGAAATAGATCCCTTGATATAAACTGAAATTGTTCTCTTGACATGTTTCATGCCTAACAATTTTACTGTACTTACAATTACATATTTACTGTAGGGAATGAGTTAGAGTTCCTCATGTTCTTTCAATTCTGTACTCCTAGAAGTTATGAGTCTTGTACATTCATATTAAACATATTTTAATTAAAATCACTCTTTGGTGCATCATAATCACTGTGATTTAGTTCAGTTGCTATATTGGGATGTAAACAAATGGTCTGTACATTTGAACAAATGAAATTTCAGAGTTGTGACTTTTTCTAAATTTCTTCAGAATATTTTGCTTTAGGAAATTGGTTTCATACTTCCATGAAATAAATATAAAACTTGTAAATATATATTATATACATGTATTTTATACATAAATAAATATATACTGGTAGTCCTACAGATAGTCCTACACCCTACCTGCCGGCCTTTACACATTAGTCCTATATTTTTAATACCGGTAAACAAACTCCATATATAAATATATAGTATGTACCACTGAGGGAGGTTGGAGATTTTGCTTACTCATGCACAAGGCAAGGGGAAGGGTTTTGGCAGAAAGTATGTATTGTAAACTTATTCACAAATTCTGCAATAATTATACTGAAATTCTTGACAGTCCATAAATAGCCTATTTATTTTTAATGCTGTAAAAATATCACACAACATTTTGTAGGAATTATCTTTAAATTGTTGCATTGTAGTTTTCACAAATGAACTCGCTAGATATTGCTCTGCTACAGCATTTGACTACTTGCTTTATTATATCTGAATATTCCAAGTATGTTGGCCAGTTATTCCTAAAATTGTTCGATTCCCAAATTTAGGTTTTGATCAGGCGCTTTATGTCAAGTCAATTTCAAACAAATACACTTCAAAATAGCGAATACATTTCTTAAAATTAAAGGGTTGGGTAAAAATAAATAATAACTCATATGTAGGTCACCAAGCGCCACTCATTAACTGCTAAGAGTATCACTAATTAGTCAAGAGTGTTACTGTTTGCACCAAATCTCCTAGATGTCACAGAGTAAAAGTGGAAATAAAATTAAGAAAATTGTGTTAATAGCGACCATGAGGAAGACATGACTCCCAGGGTGGGCGGTGCTGTGCCAAGGAAAAGCGGCACGCGCGATAAAGCCTGAAAATGGCGCCCCTCAATATATACAAAGAAATGTAGCTCAGGGCAGACCAGTTAATTGGCACCACTTGTCCTTGTGAAGTATATGAGATTTGATCATTGAATTCACTACTCAGTTGCAAGCTTAAGACCATTTAGGATACCCTCATGTTGGCACCTGGAACGAGAGCCCTCTTCAACCTCCCCTTTTGCACAGGGTGACATGGCACCCCAAGGTGAGGAGGTGTTAATTTTGGGAACCACTGGACTACACCAAGGCCAAACATTTTATTTTATTGTGATGTCATAAGTCTATAAATAATTATTTTTTTTTGTTCACAGTTTTTTGTATTTTTATAGAAAAGGTTTAGGGGGATTTGTACCTAGGCAGAGGGAGGGAAAGGGGGTGGGGGGGCTGTCTTAAAAAAAAAGGTATGCTTGCAATATGGAAGATTATGCTTAATTACTAGTACTATATGGATGCCCCCAATCTGATGTCCCAAACTTCTGTACAAGAGTTATTAACCCCTTCCCTGTAAAGATTATACTAAAAGCACTATAAATTAAACGTTGCTGTTGCAGATTTGATAATATAATTTTTGTCAAAGGAACATCTTTTCAATTGTTTTTAAATATTATTTATTAAGATTCTTCAGGAGTTTGATAAAACGTAATATTGAAAACTGGAAGGTCAGATACTCAGGACTCCAGTTGTTCTCATATTCATTTTTTTTTTTTTTTTTTTATATTCAAACTTTTTTTTTCAAGTACATTTTTTTGTTGACAAATTTTATTTTATTTGATTTTTTAGATTCTTCAGGAGTTTGATAAAACGTAATATTGAAAACTGGAAGGTCAGATACTCAGGACTCCAGTTGTTCTCATATTCATTTTTTTTTTTTTTTTTACATTCAAACTTTTATTACCAAGTACATATTTGTGTGGACAAATTTCATTTTATTTGATTTTATAATTAATCCTAAAGGTATGCAATACACAATATTTTTCAGAATGCCTGCAATATACAATAGTTTTCAAAATAATAAATAATCCATGTTTTGATTTAGTTTAATAAATTAAGACAATATAAAGCTCAGGTATTTGTGAACAAAAATTAAATGACACTTTGCGAAAATAAGATGAAGGTGAGCTGTTAAAGTAATCAATATTATTACCTATTTTTGATAATTGATTTCACTATGGAGAAGAAAACAAATTTGATACAGGGTATTAATATGATAAATTCCACTCAAATGCACAACAGTCGAAGCCTAGTAAGATGTGTTGAAAGTCTTGTTTATTGCAGACACTGACAAGGCAATAGTTAGGTCACTCAGGTAAAACCCACCATCATCAAGCTGTTGGTTTGGAAATAGTATTTTCAGTTGAAATGCTTATTTTGAAATAATAAATGTATATTGAAAATGAAAACAATTATGTTTTATAAGTTAAATTGCTCTTATGTGGTTGTAGCATTTATTTATTTATGAATTTATTTTTTAAAACTTTGAAACTCCCACTAGAATGAGTACATATCCTTTTGAATTTGGGTTTATACTCATCAACTAATGTACTAGAGATGGGAATCAAATCCAAACTGAACACACCAAATTTAAACCGTGCTTAATATATGTTTTCTTATTTTGTTAGTGCACATCTATATAAATGATTCTATTTTATTTAAATTAAAACCAATCTAATTTCAACCTGGGATAGTTACCGAACGCTTCAAACTTCAGGGGTTGCTGAACTTAGGTTGTTACCAAACCCAAACTTACGGTATTACCGAACCAAAACAAGCCCATGCTTAAGTTTTTGTACCGAACCCAATCTGTACTTCTAAAAAGAGGGTTTGATTCCCATCTCTATCATGCACCTTTGTTACTTTTAACTTTGCTTTTTAATTTGAGACATAGCTAGTCCACTCTGGTAAAAAAAAATACACACATTGACAAGTATGTTATAAATAATGTTGGCCTTTGATAATGTCTATATTTAATAGTAATATGCTTACCTTCCCCATCTCCATATCAAGCTTCCCTTGGTCATCCTCATAGTGTACAACTCTGTAGTTACTGGGCTCAAACTCAAACTGGTCTAAGAACAGTAAATGTTTATTTTAACTATAACTGGAGTGACAGTTCAGTATTATCCATCAACATTTAATAAAATCGGTAAATGAATTTAGATTATTTGGTTAATTCTGAAATCAAGTTATTAATTTTGTGAAAATTGGATTAGTAAAATAAATTTCAGTTAACGGCATGCCTGAAATAATTTTTAAGCAACATGAAGATATTTTTGTCCTTGATACAGATTTAATCATTACAGAATAAATGTAGTATGCCATTACCTACTACTGAAATGTCTATTTATCAATTAATGGAGTAAGGAAAGTTACTTTTGGAATACCATAGGAACTTATCAGCTTGATTGCCCCCACCCACTTTCTAATATGATCAAAATCTACTTATATTTACAAAAGCTTGTGGAGAAGTATTGCAGCTGTTAATATCCACCCTAGCCCTTAAAAACTGGTTTTTCATTTGGTTAACTAATTATAAGAGGTCAGACTGCAATAATGCTTTAAAATAGATTAATTAGACACGAACAATTTGTGTAGATATAACAATATAAGTTAAGCTTTAATAATAATTTTAAATAATGCACAAGTAAACGTTTCAGCACGTGCCTTCATCACCATAACAACAAACATTTAAATAAGTATAAATCAAATTTAGATAATATGTATACACATGTATCCTACCTAAAAAGGAGAAAAAATAGGAGTGGGCACAAAAACCAGACAGAAACAAAGTAAAGAAGAATGGAAAGGAAGTGACTTGAAGTAAAATGTAAAAAACCAAACAGAAAAAAGACATCGCACCTAGGCAGACCTGTTTACCCTCAAACTCCTAAAAATTGTACAATATCATCACAAAATCGTTAAATACGTTGTCTTAATAGTAAAAAATAAACATTGACTATCTATAATGTATACACCGCAAAATCGTACATTGTACGCCAAAATCGTAAGAGTAAACAGGTCTGCCTACATAAAATTGTGGATTTGGTTTATTCCATATGGAGTCAACGTACTTAATCTTGTTATTAATTTATTTTCCATATATATCCTGTCCAGTGTATTACTAGTATAAGGTATACCAGTAACTGCGAATTCTAAATTTCCATCATGGTTAGGGCTATTGAAATGTTTGGAGACCGGACAGAGAGCCTGTTTATTTATGTTAGAGTTGTTCTCTAAACCGGTCTGCAAGGCGATGACCTGTCTCTCCTACATATAATTTACCGCACTTTTTACAAAGGATGGTGTAAATCACGTTGCGACTTGTGCAGGTGAAGCATTTTCATTTGGTATCTCTCTCTGCACGACTTCTCTCCTTTTAGGGAGACTTTGCCATAAAAGAAAACATTTAATTCTATTTCCTTTGCGTCCCAACATAATTTCAACCAAGGTAACTTGTTTCCACTCATAACTTCTGTAAATCTACATGACTAACATGAGCTTTATTTCAGTCATCCATATAATTGAGGTAATTCTATCATCTAATTACACAAATTTTGTATGATGCCATTTCATCATAATGGAATAACTACCATTCAATTCTTACATGTCTGAGATGAATGCTCAACTTTTATAGCAGAACTAATAGTCCAGAAAGGTTCTCCTCTCTCATCAAGCATGATGACATCTAATATTCCAACAGCCTTTGGATGAAAATAGAATTGTTCAACTTAAATGATCTTTTAGTTTAATTAATGTTGTCTACTTCTTTCTGTCAGTGTGTTGTTAATGTTTCACATTAATGAATATAATGCTATCTACTTTTTTCTCTCATTGTGTTGTTAATGTTTCACGTTAATGTTTCACATTAATGATTATAATGCTATCTACTTCTTTCCGTCAGAGTGATGTTAATGTTCCACATTAATGGTTAATTATCTTTGCATTTTTGAAAATCTCAATATGGTTTTGGGTTATCATCGGCTGATGTCATGAGTTTTGGTTAGTTAAACAAGACATTTTCAAGAAGTACCAGTCTTCTTGTATATAATTTCTTTTGTCACCCTTTTTTTTTTTTGAAGTGTTCATCTGCCTGTGGGGTTTTTTGAGCTCTTTTAAAAGAGAAAAATTGCGACAGAAATTTTTAAAAAAAATTATTTGTGGACTCATGTTGTTTGTAATTTTTAAACAATGATTAATTATAATAATTATAACAATGTTTTAGAGTAAATTAATCACATCGCTTTTTTATTATCGTTTCACAGCTAACATTGCTCTGGTAGTAAAAAATCTTATTTCAAACTATAGACAGGTATTGATTTTGATTTTAGAAATACATTTATTCTAAGTGAAGAAGCAAAAAAACTAAATAATTATATGAAATCAATGTGTGGAGCCCTTAAATCAGTGGTTCTCAAAGTGGGCAGTGGAATGGCCCAGGGGTAAGGTAAAGGGGATGTTGGTGAATTATATGAGAAATTTTTTGTTTGAAAGGCCAAGAGGTGGACGAAAATTAGTCAGAGAAAATAAACATTATATTTTCAAACACACCAAGTAGTACCTTCGATCTTTAAAACAGTACGAGCGCCAACTAACAAGAAAAGGCATACTTTTATTTGTAACTTAGCAGGTATGATAGTCCAACAACCTAAGCACATGGCCAAGCACTTACAAAAGAGGTTGCCAACATCTTTGTATACATTCAGTCCATGAAGAACTTATCTTTTTAAAAGAAAACAATAATTGTCTCTTCTTTTGAGATAAAAATATGCATCTATTTTCAAAAAATGGTTTCAGTAACCTTTCTTCCTATACTGATATCACTGTTACTGTTATAAGTTAATATGACCAGAGTGACGCCTCAGTGAATGTCAGTTAGGGAGTTAACTACTAACTATTTCTTACACAGAGTAAGGTTCCCATCTGGTGAACAATAGAATGCAGTCTCTCCCCTTATTACCCCTGAACAATAGAATGATGATTAAATAAAGTTCAGTCACAATACATCCATTTATTTTGGAAAAAAAACATTATATCAAATCTTCCCAGCTGCTTTCTTAATTCTATACAATATGGCTTCTCCTCTATTTCATCTTTATCTATTTTTATATCTACGTATCACTACTCTGACTCGAAATAGCGCTTTTCACTCAACTGTAAATTAACATTGAATATCATTATGCTAATATTTATTTTCAATGGCCTGCAATAATGGTCATCATCATGTGAATGTAAGTAGGCCTATCTATTTTGTATTATTTCTATGTTTTTAAGACAGAATTTTGTAAATCTTGATTCATAAGTCATATAAGGAAGTTTTTATGAACAGAAAACAAACTGATAGGGAATGGAACGACAATTATGTGTTGTTTTTTTTAAAATTTTCTTTACAACATGATTAGTTAACAAAAAAGGTCACTAAAAAGATGTTTTCAGGGTGATTTTAAAAAATGAGCCAAATTTCTTTAATATTCTTATTGTGACTCATCGCCAACATTTGATTGCAGTAATATTGTGTGATCATCTGCACAAGTATTAAACTAAAAATTCACACTCTCAATGATTGACTATTCTAGAAGTTCCATTTTGAGAACAATGAAAATTTTGAAAGTTGTCTGTTCATAATTCAAGTTCTTTGGATTTCAAAAGGTTATTACGCATGACACATTTTACTAGCTATTTGACACTGTTGTTAAATTTGCTGAGGATCTAAAATGCTTCTTTTCGTTATGAAATTAGTTATTTATCGTAAATATTTGCTAAATCCAATTAAGGCTAAATCCAATTAAGTAAATGAGGTTCTTATTGAAACCCAAAAGTCATCTGAGTTTTGTTTCAGAATTAAATATATTCACGTACAATATTTAAATTTGAGGAGTGTAAAAATTACTTACTATTAACAAGTTTAACATCTAAAACTCTTGTTTAATTGGTATCCTAATTTAAAAAGCTGTGAAATCGCCAGATTAAGTAAATAACTTTATTACTTATTAAAAGTTTAGGCTTCATTTGGGTATTAAACTCATAGTAGTTATAGATTTCATTAATAACTCTACATAACATAAATCATAATATCGGGTATGTTTATAGAAACACTTTCAAGTTCCTGTCAAACTGGAACATGTCAAGGACACTTACTTGCACTACACCTTTAAATAAGTTGGTTTTCCATGGAAATGTTATCTCCTTCACACAGGCAATGTGTGTCATTTTATCATCTTTACAAACAGGATTATACACTGCAAATCCACCAACTGCTTGCACAAATAAATGTTCAGAGGATAAAGTGATAACAAAAAGCCATTCCTTACAGAACTATATTTTAAAGATTAGATAGGTAAAGAAAGCTAAAAAAATTTAGCAAAATGTTATCATTAAATCTCATCACTATTTTATTTATTGTTTTTTTTTAAATATTAATATTTTATTTTAAAGTGCTTTACTTTTTGGTTTAACTTAGATAATAAATTAATTGTTTCATGCAACAGAAAAAAATTAACAAGTGCATAAATTTCATATATTTTATAGAACAACACAACTATTAATGTGGCCGAGTGAGACCAACTGTGGATAAATCATGATTATCTTACCCAAAGAACCTTTTTTGGTATAAAGATCTGTAAATTTACAGTCCAGTAATTTTTGTCTCATGTTCCTAATTTGAAGAATACAAGTGTAACCATGAAGACCTGTAGGAAAACAAAATGTCTTTGAATTCAGAGCCAGGTGTTACTATTAACAAATATTTGTGTAAATTTGCCTGATTAATTCAAACCATGGAAAAAAATTAAATTCAACGGTTTGATGTTGCGAGCACTATAAATCCTCAAAATAATCAGATAGTTTTATATATTCATTGTTTTCAGGCTAGGGAAAAATTTACAACAGACATTCATCATCTGTGTTTGCAACGACAGATGCAGTGATCGAATTCCCCAGCTCTTAACATTTTAGTTACTTTTATTAGATCATTGTCATTCAATTTTTGTTAATGGTAATAATAGACTTTATGTTAAAATATCTGTAAGTGGAAAAAATTGCACAGATAATTAAACATTTTTATCTTTAAACTATTTAATATAAATTTAAGGGTTAAAATTAATTTGAATCTTACATTTCGCGTGAAGTAAAATTTGTATAGTCACTGTGTCACTGATAAAATGTTTAAAGTAGTTTAATTGGATTCAAAACAACTGTTAAAGACGACTTAATTAAAATGTTTAGCGCTTTGGGCAAAATGTCCAAAAATATAATTCCAGAAATTAGTTTATATTGCTTATTTTTTAACAGTGTCAAATTTGATGCTCAATTCCACCTGCAGGTCTCTTCAGCTCTGAAAAGCTGGACTAAGTTATGGAAGGAATTAATACTAATTTATAAAAAATTACCATAATGAGGATCAATGTCATCTACAGGTCTCATAGGTAAAGATGGCTCCCAGCATCTGAAAATGAGATATCAAGAACATTCCTGTGTTCAAATTTATTTTATTGGACAAATGTAACAAAATATTACTGACTAGAGCTTAGCCGGGGGCAGTTTTTTTACACCTGGTCTGGGTATTTTGAGAAAATAACCAGTGGCTCCAAGTGATACAGACAAAAAAGTGAACGTCTCATTTTCTATTATATATGCCGCCCTTTAAGCAATGATCCTACAGATAGTCCTACACCCCACCGGGCGGCTTTTAAAAAATAGTCCTACACCATACCGGTGGCTCTTTATTCATTAATATAATAGTCGCCTCCGAAAATTTTTACCTGAGTTCAACCGTCATGCAAGATGCTCACTACCTCACAGCTTTTTTTTTCCCACAGTACTATTAATATAAAACATGTTAAGTAGGGGGAGGGTCAGTTGTAAAAAGAAAGCAGCCACACCAGAAGCTAATATATATATAAGAGATTGCTTAAAATGTCTTATAAAAATGCCTATTTTTTTAATAAAAACATTTTACTTTATTAACTTATGTTTTTTTACCTTCGCGGAGTACCAGAGAGACACTTGGATATGAGATTAAAATAGTGCAAAGAAGCTGTGACAAAGGCTAGTTCACCATCAACCTAGAGGGAAAAAAATCATTATTAGTTATAAAGTTGAATGGATTTTTTGCAGAATAAATAATGCATTTGTTCAGACTAAGGAACAGTTATAAGACATATTTATATATATGCAATATTTATATTTAAAGGACACATTTTTATTAGTTACATTAAGGTTAGAAGGGGAGAAAATGGGAAAATGATTATAATTGAATTGTTAATATTTTATAAACTTTAAAAAAATTGTTACCAAACAATGCTAGAAAGATAAATAAGACAAATTAAAATTAAATTTAAAAATATATATATAACACCTGGTATAATCCTATAATAAGACCTTTTGATATTTCAAATATATTAATATGGGAATCAGATCCTAATGGCTTTTCTTTCAGTAGAAACTCCCGAAGATTTCCGTTAAATTCCATAAGCAAAGACTTCTGTGATATTCTGTCAATTTTTTAAAAAAATGGCAGAAATTAATTTAGGCAAAAATTAAGTCTAAGAATTAAATATTGTTTCACTTTCAATACTTTCTAATTACAGAGTTTGAAAAGTTTAAATTGTAGGCTTATACTTATATAATTAATAGATTTTTAAAAATATTTTTAAATACATATCCAAGTAACATAAATTAAAGTCCTACCCATCTTTTGCTGGCTTTGAAGGTCCATAGAACATGAGAGGAGAGCATGCATGAATTCTTAGACTCTTTATTTGTTGTATGTCTGGGAATGTGAGGTCATACCATCGAACACTTGCAGACATGGTTAACCAATATATGTCACTTTGTTTCATAGATTGACTTAGGCCACAAGAGTCAATGAAGCTTATCTCAAAGGTCACACCAACTTTACTGTTTGCAGACATATTTTTTTACTAATTTATATGAACAGAACTTTTTCAATCTAATATTTTAGTCTTAAAAATTAACACATTTTATAATAATTTAATAAATTTTATTAATAAAATATAATACTTACATTTCCAGTTAAAATAATATTCTTTAATTTCATACAATTTTTTAGTCATGTTTGATTTTTTTTTAATAAATAAAATACTCACCTCAAAGTGAGTTCAGGTCTCTGTTTCAAGCCAGTGTAGCTGTCTGGGTGTTTCCATTTCTTCAAATAAATTTGGTCCCTCTTCAGTTTACATCTGAAGATTGAAAACTGATGTTGCAAAACTTAAAAAAAACTACTTACTCTTTTTAATATTCAAATAATCTGTGTTGAGTATTTTAATATTTTTTTTTAAAAAGGCTACACTTCATAAACCGAACCTGCATATTCATCTAAATGCTACAGACGCTGTCATCTTTCACATCTCATCACTGAGATTAGTTGAATTTTTTCAAACCATCCTAAGCAATGGTTTATTCTATTTGCATTAGTTAATTTTCAACTGGTAAGGATAGTATAATAACATTTCATTATTTTTAACACCATGCTATCATGCCTTGATTTTGTGACTTTGATTCAGTAACGACAGATGGCATAGTAATTTGTTTTTTACATAATATGAGCACATCCTTGCTCCTCATTCCAGACATCCATAAAAGAATTAAATAGAGCAGTTCTGTCAGACCTTTTTGACTGCGTGGGCCGAAAAAAAAATTTGGCAAACCCAAGGGCCACAAATGACATCTCAAAAGAAAGATTTTTTTTTTTTTTTACTTTTTGAGAAAATTATTTATATTATTAATTCTCCTTTCCTTACACATGGCATAAATAGGCATATCTCCAATAGCATTATCGGGTCATCAAGAATAAAAAAAAAAAGATAATAAGGCTGTAGCCCTTTTTATTTATATATTTTTCTTTGAATCGTACTTGTAATTTTCTGAAATTAAAGACAGATTAGAAAAAGTACTTGTTACAATTTTTCAAAAATGAGTTAAGCCTGTCATATTTTTGATTACTTACCCTGAATCATTCATGTAAATATCATTCATGAAAAATGTACATAAGTGTTTCATTCAGAGTTGCTTTGAACAGCTTTTAATGTATTTAAATTAGAATTTTAAAACTTAAAAACCTTCAAAAATACACTTAAGTATTTTTTCTACTCGGCCCTTCAGTTGCACCTGCCCTAATTAGATTTTCTAAATGTTCATCAGTCAAAGTGTTATGTTTTCTTGACTTGATGTTAGTCATTTCAAAGAATCCGGCTTCACTGATGTAGCATTATGATAACCAACTGTAATAATTAATATTTTTTTCTCTATTTTCATTTATTTTACCTATTAAGGCACAAGTTTTTCCAGCAACAGGAATGCAGTTCATGTGCAGGGGTCTTATCTTCTGCTTCTTTACTAGTTGCCCCAACAAATCGACTATAGAAATGTTTCCATAGCAAACTGAAAAAAAAAAATTAATTTTTAAAAGAAAAATCTAAATATATTTTTTTTAAGGAATTATGTGAGGTTGAACACAAAGGAATCATCTTTTCAATTTACAATTCAGTAAGCCTGTTTTATAAAAATGTAAACTTTCTAAGACAGTTATTAAGTGTGATTTTTATATCTTTATAATCTATTTAAGATTCTAATACTTTCTTTGTTGCAAAAATATAATAGCTTTGTTGTTTTTGTTTTTTTTAACTGTTCATGAATCTCTTTATTATGATCATTACTTCCTGGCAGATTATAGATTTTTTAATTTTTTTTTTTTTATGGAAAGATAAAAATTTTTAAAAAGATTTGATTTCAACCATAATAACTAAGCTGGCCAATAAATGTTTAAATTTAAAACTACATATGAGCATGATTTACTTACTTGTCTTCAGCTATTCTATGCCATCTTTTGCATACTTGTGAGACATTTATCAGATCACCAATTTGCAATTTCCAAAATATAATACGTATTATCTCATCTGGTAAACTGTGAAAATTGACATTTTTAATATCACAATGGCATTCAATAACTATAATTGAAGTAACCAGCTTATATTTTATTTTAATTTGCTATTTTAATACTATACTAATCATGCAAATAATTCTTTGGATTTATTTATAATTGGACATAAAAAGCAGTTAGGTTAATCATTTCCCTTCTATCATGTAAGATTAATTACACCATACACAAAGAGAGGTCACATTAATGAGTGTTTTAAAACTAATACCAGTATTAAAATAATTTTCAACTAAATGATAGAGCGTTGGTCATTGGCTTAGAAATTAGATTAATTATAAACATCAAATTTTCAAGCGTTTACAAAAGTTTAGATCAATAATGGAATATTATCTTAACTTCATGACAGTCTAAACCAGTAGTTCTCAACATTCCTGAGGCCACAACCTTTAAATACAGTTCATCATGTTGTGGTGACCCCCAACCATATAATTATTTTCGTTGCTACTTCACAAATATGTGTTTTCCGATGGTATTAGGTGACCCCTTTGTAAATATCGTTCGACCCCCAAAGGGGTCACGACCCACAGGCTCAGAACCGCTGGTCTAAACGATTTTATGGACAGTTTCTGCAATATAAACTGCAGTCAAGGTACCAATTTAATATTTGATTAAAAATTAAATTACTTATTGAACTTCCTTGATACAGTAACAGGTGATATTTTAAATGTTGTATGTAAATTTAATGAAAATAAATATTTAGTGTTACCAAATAGAAGTGTTTTTACTGCTTACCTTTCAAATACAACTTTAACCTTTCGTCCTCCATTCTTGGAAATCAATGGAAGTTTTATCGGATTATAAGTATTCTTCTTCAAATTACAATTTTTAAGGCTATTCAAATTTTTCTTGCTGTTGACATGAGATGGGTTATTGCTTTCTACTTGTATCTTTGATTTTTCATCTAAACCTTTTTCTTTTGGGCTTTTATCTTCCCACACTCTAAGGAAAAAACACAGGTTTCAATTTATTTAATATAGTCAAAGTCATAATTAGAACTTTGAAACTGAAGTATAATTGTTTATTCATGTACTAATTAAAAAATCGAAATTAACAAATTTCTATTTTTTTTAAAATTATGATTAAGTTAATCATGTAATAGTTGAATTAGATGAAATAGATGTTTAAAAAAATTATTAAAATGAAATTTTAGTTGTATTTTTTTTTCTTTTCCTTTAATATAAATATTTTCAACAAAAGGAAATGGAAAAAAAAAATAAACTCAAGTGTAATCAGTTGTAAAATTATGTTATGTCCAATTGTAAAGGGAAGAGCATGATTTGTTCAAGGGTCCCTGAAAACTATTCTTTATTTATCAAATTCTAATATGGCAAAATTTATGTTTACTTTATAGTAGATTTAGTAATTTAAATATATTTTCATTGAGAAAAAAAAATCTTTAAAGAAATAAAATGTACCCAGTAAAAAGTTTTTATAATATACATTTATAGGAAAAGAACAATGATTTCAATTTTTTTATTAACCTTTTAAAAGGATATTTAAGATTACAAGCTTGTAAAACCGTTTCACAATCCATAATAAAAAATAATATGATTATATCATTACTTGGCTTTTCTGTGTAATAGGCATACTAAGGAAAACATTTTTTTAAGGAAGAAATAGCATACTTAATTCGGACCAATGTCTTGTCTCTCATGTACCTAAATTTCATGCAGTTTCTAATATTATTTGTATTAAATTTTTGGGACCCAATTTAATCATCTGTGGCATTTTCAAATTGTTTGAAGGATGTTGAATTTTTTTTTTTTTTAAACTTCTTGTGTTTTAAAAAGGGCTTGTGCCAATCTAGAGAACACAACAGCTAGAGTTATGAAAATGGGAAATATTAATTGTAAGAACAAGAAGAACAATGATGCTTTGAGAATGTAAAGGAGATAAGTAGATTTGCTGTACAGCTAGAAATGAGTAATAGAAGTCAAAATCATGAATCAACAAAAGACCACATGCCACATAGATCACCTTGAAGACTTGAGATAATAGTTTTTATCTCTAATGCATTTTGGATTCGGTCCTAACTGACAATGAAAAACAAGGTAGACAGGTCTTTTTAAAAAAAGATTTATCTGACTTATAAAAATGGTCTCAATTATAAATCGATATTTTTACCTTGATATGGTGTGCATAAAGATTTTAAAAAATGCAGACCATGAAGAATTAAAATATCTTAGAAGGTTTGAAAGAACTGAATGAAAAAAAAATCTTGGTTTAGTTAGCTTGAATACACATTAAAATTTATTATCAAGTTGGTAAACATTGATGACAATGACTTAGGTTTCTACCTCAGCAATATGTATGATTATAACATGTCATGGTCTTTTAAATTCAATGGTTTCTTTTCAAGGAAAAATGCATACTATGTAAATTTTTATTATAAAAACTAGGACTTTATGAGTGTTCACGAGAACGGAAATTGAGTTGTCATATCATTTATTTAATAAATTGTTTATTTGTACCAAAGGTATGTGGTGCTTTATTTTGCAATCTGTTAAATTTTTGTCTCTCCATTTATATTAATTGCAGATAACGATCATGGATCTCTTTGGCATAAAGACATTTTTGGAAGATATTTAAAAATTTATGAAAATCCTCTATCTTGAGGAAATTTCAAAAGTAAAATCATATAACTTATTTAATTAATAATATATGTTTGAAATTTTCACTTGTATTGTATAAAAAACATTTACAATCTATTATTTTGTATCATCAATAGATAATAATACCATTGTGATTAAAATGGATTATAAAAAAAACATGTCATTCTCTTACTGGCATGTTCTGCCTTGAACAGCCATCAAGGTCTTGTCGATGAAACTTTAATTTAGCTAAAGTGACTAACCAAAAACTGAGTAAGATGAATACAGCAATTATTAGTTTCCTTTAATATAAAACCCTATGCCTTTTGATATATTTTTATATCCCAGAATTTTTTTTTAAAAGCCTACTTAAGAGGCCCTACTCTTAAAAATTTGTTAAAGTATGTAAGCTATTACTTTATACTTTCTTGTTTGCATTTATTAGTCTATCATTTGTTCAGGCCTATTAACTATTATTTATTTATTATAGTCCCATGCCTTTGAGTACTTAGATTTTCTTCTAATAATATTGAGGCCTACTTCACTAGAACTAATAAGCCTACTTAGTTATACAAATTTTTATGTTTTGTTGGTTAGGATCAGTTAATAAAAATCCCCAAATTCGCAATTTCGAATAAGGTTAATATCAATCATATTCCTATAGAATAATAATATTTAACTCCTTGACTCCCGGAGATATTTCCACTGTTTTACCAAGTGGTTTTAAAAAACAGAACAAAAACAATAACACTGCTAAACTTTAATCTAAATTCTCAGATAAATATTAAAGATACACCCTAACCTAAGTGTTATATATAGAAATTAAATGTATTTTGTTATGAAATTATATAAATTTGGATATCAAAAAGAAAATATTCACAGACAAAAATAGATAAGAAAAAACTAATTCACAAAAGTTTATTACAGAAATTTGTTAACCAACTTCCAAATAATTTTTTTACACAGACAATTTAAACAAAAAATCTAAAAATTTTCTTCACGTTTGATTAAAAAATAAATAATATAAATACATTTTAGCAAAACAAATTGTTGCAGAAAAATGCATAGTGAATTTTCAATAAATACCATCAAACTATATTCTTATTTTCCTCAGCTTAATATAAATGTTCAACCTGGAGTGCTACTCTTCATTGGAAATGGAATCAAATGTAGTTTTTATAAATGTTTTTTTTTTAATTGTAATCAGAATTTAAAACAAAAATTTACAGTGAATAATTTATTTTTAAAAGTAAAAAATGCAAGTAAAAATTATTTTAAATCTGCAAAACACCACCAGTTCAAAATAACCCCTAGCATTGTTTGACTGATAATAAATCCAATGAACAATAAAATATCCAAATGTTTAAAAAAATAGTTGAAATTGAAAAAATTGCCCACTTTTTAGTAACACACAATAAGGGATAAAAAATCAGACCAAAGTTACAATAAATATAAACTAACCATATTCCATTTAACTTAGTAAAATTATAACACCCTTGCAATGGTTTTAAAATAGAATATCTTGATGCCAGTAAAGAATAAGGATCAATATCAGGGCAACACACCTTTTCTGGGAACCACTGATAATACATTTGTTACACCAACTTTCGACATGTGGTTGTCGACATTTTTCCTACTCCCTCTGAGATATAAAACTGATATTTGTTTTATAATGTTGAGTATTTGAATTAATTCTAAAGCTTTATTAGCAGTTAATCTGCGTGTTCCTGAGCCATTAAGTTCAGTCATAGTACGAAATCAGTGCATGGCATTTGAAAAATCAATAAAAAAAAACTAAAGCGGAATGTAAACAGGACACAGCTTACTAAATCACAAAGCAAAATGCCTCAACGGACAAGGCTTGTTGAAACCAAACCTTAATACCACATCCGCTTTTTACAAAATTAATAAACTGTGAGCTGGTACAGTCGCTTATTGGACAGAAACTGAAAATCTGTAAGCTTGTACAGTTGGCTCAAGGGAGTAAAAGAGTTAATAGGCCTAGGCTTAGTTTATAGCCTCATGTTATTGTTTTCAAACATCACTGTAGAGTAAAGACTGATCTGAAATGAAGAGTGAACAACTCACAACACAGGACAAACACATGTGACTAGTATCACTGTGTCTGATCGGTAAGTAACAGAGTGACGGATTCTGATACACTTGTGTCTAGTGCCGGCATTAGGTGTAGGTGATAAACGCAGCTTCCTAGCCCTACATTTTTTCAAGGGGCGGCAAATTCAAAAAAAATATTTTAATATGTACAAATTTAAAAATGTAAATGATGTATATTTGATGCCCCTCTTTAATTGTATTCATAGAACTTGAAAATTAAATATACAAGGGCAAGCAGTGGCGTATGAAGGCACTCAAGCAGCACTTTTTTTTTAAATTGTCCAACAGCAGAGTCTTTTCATGGAAGGTGGGAAGAAAAAATTTTGGAAATTCTATTTCAGGAATTTTCAGATTCTGGCATTTGTCTAGATAATAATAATATTAGATGAAAAGGATAAGATAATAGAGCAAACATGAGAGGGCTTCATAATGGAGTCCAAGCAAGAGTCTGATAGCTCATTAGAAGAGCATTTTTTGTTCCATCCTATGTGCATTCATCGAATTTATTTTGTTACCGGTAACCAATATTCCCTTTAAGATGCTAACTCATAGATGCTGCACAGCAGTTTTCATGTTAGTATATGTTTGTGTTTGTGGGCTGTAAAATTCTGCACACAAAAAAAATTGATGCTGTAAAACTTTGCACACAACTGTATGATTTTGCACACGAACCAGTAAACCTTAAAGGGAACATTGCCGGTAACCATATTTTGGAAAAGGTACCTAATAGAAAAGATAGCCTAATAAATGCAAACAAGAAAGTATAAAGTAATAGCTTACATACTTTTGGCTTAGGAAAATGAAGTTTCAGCAGCCATTAATGTAACAGAACTTGGGAATTAGTAATTTTCTTTATCAAGAAGAATAAATAAAAATCAAGCCCCAGAAGTATATTAAATTATCTATGTTGAATGGACTTGGTTGATTTTTTTCTATATGTGTATGTTGTTATAATAATTTTTCTAACACTCTCAATAACAGTGTCGAAGGTTGTGGGAAGCTGATGTAAACTACATACAAAATTTTCTTTATTCTGCATGTCTAAAGATCGTTTGGTTGGTTTAGCTTCAATATCCATAGAAAGAATGAATGGAGAAGATTTGGATATTAGTCTATTACAGAAATAATTCAGGTTTTTGCTCAAAAACTATTAATTAATAGATACTCTTAAAAATTTAATAAATCTGCAATTTTATGTTTTTTTGTTTTAGTACCGGTAGCCGATTATTTTAAATAACTTTGCAGAAGCAAGAAAACACTTTTTATTTTAAAAACAGCTATTACATATAAAAATTCTTAACGTTATCATAACGTTCAGTTTAAGTTTGTTTAAGTCAATTTAGGTTACTTAAAATAAGAAAGTTAATTAAACCTTTGTATGATGCAGATTTATACTTTTAGTTGCTTAGAAAACATGTCATAATAGATGACTGATCAACATGTATGAAAGTGGAGGCATTTTTGTTCCTGCCTTTAGCACAAAACTTTCTATGCTTATGTCAGACTGTCAAAAACAGTTTTTGTCATTTGTGGTTTGCTTCTGTAATATTAATATAACGGTAACTTACCACTTGAGCGTTGGTTATTAAAAAATCGTTTAGTTCCGATTTGAAGTGCTATTTAAAGGTTTATTGTGTTATTGATAAGATAAAATTATTTTATTGATTCTAATCAATGGAAATGTTTTTTAATATAGACATTGTACATATTCATTTCAGCACATGTATTAAATTCATCATTTTTAAAGTAGAAAAATTCAAACAGCTTAATGTATGAAAAGAAACGTTTGAATTTATATCATCTCCACAAAAACGGTTGCGGAACATGAAGTCAAGCATACAGGATGGGCGAAGATTGCGTTTTGTGATAAAATATTAAAATATTTTGTTCAGTTTGAGCTTTGTTACTTTGTGTGCATCCACATGTTTTCTACATTCTGTGTGTGGACACCAGCATCATTTGGAAAAAAAAAATTTTGTTGATGGACTACAAAAAGAATGTTTGTATATTCCATGTCTTATCTATTTTATTTTTGCATAAGCCTAATCCATAAGCCACCCATGCTTCTCTATTTCTTTTATCTTTGTACGGTAACAGTATTGCAGTCCTGTTAACGCCCTTAACGTGATCACAAGTGTGTTTGGCACGTCAACAAGAATACAGAGCCTTCTTTCTATGCCACAAAAACCCAGTTGCCTTCTTTCAACTGTACTATCAACAGACATCAATAAAGAATAACTGTAGTATAAATAGTAAATAGCACTTCAAACCACAACACGATTTTTTTTAATAAGCTGTGTAATGCTGAAATGTTAATGGTAGATTACAAAAACAATTTTAATAAAATTCAAAATACCACTAATTATGGCCTAAAATGCGAGTTATGCCTATGCAGCTTCCTATTATAAAGGTTATAATTCCGCTTTACGCAAAGAAAAATCCCTACTAATTTAAAATTATAAGTTAGTGATACTTTTACTTACTACCACTGACACTGACCACTACCACTACTGACTACTGGTACACTAGTCAACTAGTAATAGTCACTAATCTCAGTTTTAAAATCGTAGTCTTCACTGAAGACTTCAGTCTTGGCAGATATTAATTAGTTAAATTTCAACCTTGACATATCTTAAGGACAAATATGCCTCACTTTTTATTTTGATTAGTGTTGTTTGAATGTGAACGGAGATATTGTTTTAATGCCGAACGATGCTGTTGCTGGGCATTTGAGGTGGCCATTTTGTAAACAAATAGACCAAGCTTAATCACTTAAATAATAGGCTGCATCTATAAGTACCCGGGTATCTTTAATTATAAATAACTATTCGCACCCGGAGTGAATCCGTACAGATTAAATGCCTTTGGAGCCGAGTGTGATGACAATGATAGTATGAGAATTATTTTTTTAAATTGTTTTTTCTCCTTGTTATTTCATAGGTTCATAGCTTTATTCTTTTTAGTTGGTTTTCTTTTTGGCTATGTTAATTTCTCTTAGGACGGGTAGATTTTTTTTCTTTCCTATTTTCTTTTTTAGTTTAAGCCATTTTCGTAGATCATTTTTTTTGTGTAAATCTAGTAATGAAGATGATTTAGATACTAAATGATTTAGATGATTTAGATACTCCACAGCCCCCTTCCTATTCAAGTGCATTGACTTTTTCTCGACAAACTTTCCTGCGGGCGCCCATGGTTGGTCAGCTCTAGTTTGATAGATGGCACTTAATTATTTAGATGCCACCTAAGTTGACTCTGGTTTGTGGTGAGTAAAATGAGAGGCAGTGTTAGTGATTTTATGTATCTGGATGGAACCAAATTGCTCTATTATTCATCTGTTTGCAATGGTGTTTATTTCGCTACTGACATATATTTCATTACTTTCCCGCTTTTCGCCTCTTAGTCTTAGTAAATCACCAGCTATTTATTGAGAAAGAAATCGAAACTGTCATAAATTTTAAGACAGGACATTGACAATTTTATTTAAAGTTTTAACAAATATTTCCCACATAACCCCCACCCATGGGCGCCCGCAGGTAGGGCAAGGGGGCACTTGCCCTACCCCCCCCCCCCTGGATTGATTGGATAACACAAATTTAGACAAAAATAGACCAAAAATGTATTAAAGTAAAGAGAAAATAAAGAGAAAGTAACTAAGCTGATGTCCTGTCCGTTCGTTCACCATACAAATACGCTACAGTAAATTAAAACTATATTAAAACATTG